CAGATCGTTGGCCACGAACGTGAACAGCGGCATGAGTGCAAAGTCCTCGTGGCTGGAGACGTAGTGCTCGAGCGACGACGCCCAGGGGACATAGTCCGTCAGTTTGGCCTCGTAGCCGTACGTCTGCAGCGTGGCGAGGTATTGATTGAAGCGGAGCCGAGGGTGGCCCGTGATCTGGGCGACCGAGACGCCTCCTCCTCCTCCTGCTGCTGCTGCCGCTGCTGATGATTTTGCTGCTCCCCCCGCGGAGGCCACCTTTGGCGGGTGGAACGCGCACGCCACCACCGTCCTGGCCACGTGGTCCACGGGAACCATGTTTACCGTGTTGTTGATGTTCGGGCGCGTGCCTAGCTGGACACACCCCTTCAGCATGCGAATCAGGAAATCGTCCGTATTCGTGACGCCGGTGTGTGAATCGCCCAGCACGTAGCCCGGCCGGACGATGCATCCCGTCAGCCCGCGGCGGCCGGCTTCGCGACACAGGTATTCGGCCACCCACTTGCTTTGGCCGTAGCCGGTGCCCAATCCGGTTCGGGAGCCTGCGAGGTCGTCGTCCTCGGAGATGCCTTCGCCGCCCGCCGCGATGATGCGCTCGGACTCGCGCACGAAATGCTCGTGGTCGAGGACCGATGTGGACGAGACAAAGGTAAACAGCTTGGGCTTCCCCTCCGCCACGAGCTTCATGGCTTCAATGGTTCCCATGACGTTGGGCGCCTTCAAGGTCGAGTATGTGTTTATCCAGTGCACTTGGGCGCCGTTGTGGATCAGCACGTCGGCTTCCGACACAAGTTGTTGCCATTGTGAGTCTGGCAGGCCGAAATGAGGAGGTCCCAGGGACCCAACAACGCATTGAATACGTGATTCCCACGATGACTCCCAGACGCCGTACGCTTGACATGTGGTTTTGACACGGGACATGGCTGTGGCTTCGTCCTTGGCACGGACGAGCGCGATGACCTTCTGGACCTGGGGGTTTTGGCGGTCGAGAAGGTCTTTGAGGACGTATGAGCCGAGAAATCCTGTCGCGCCAGTGAGGAATACCACTGGCGCAGGTGGGACCTTGGCAGATGCAGTAGGGAATGACGCTGGAAGTAGCTTGGCCAGCTTTGGTGCGTCGTCGCCGTATTCCTCTGCAGCCTTGACGCCGTTGGTCTCGGCTCCGTTGGTCTCGACCACGTCTCCGCCTTCAAGAGAGTCGGCCGCTCGAAGGTTGTCGATGACTGCGGCCATCTCTTTCAGCGTGTGTCGGTTGTAGATCTTGCTGATTGCAAGGTTTACGCCGAGCGTTCTCCTGACTTGGTACGCAAGTTGCTGCGCCTTCATACTCTCACCACCGATCTCAAAGAATGAGTCACTCGGCTTGATGGTCTTAGGAATCAGGCCCGGCACGAGCTTGGCCCAGATGTGCGCGAGAGCGAGCTCACCTTCTGTCAGCTGGTGCAACATCGACGACTTCCGTCGAGTCCGTGCTGACAGCATGCCCATGTCCGGGAACGGCAGTTTTGGCTTGTCGATCTTGCCGTTGGGATTCAATGGCATCGCCTTCATGGGCACGATAACTGAAGGAACGGCATATGCTGGCAGCTTGGTGCGCAGATACTCTTGCACCTCTTTCTGCAAGACCCGAAATCGTTCTACTCTTCCGAACAAGGTACCGTCATCTGGAACGTCCTCGACGCCTTTCTCCGAGAGAAATTGCGTCCACGCGTTCATCTGGGGGACAATGTAGCTGACCAGCGTCTGTTCCTCGAACTTGTCTCTTCGAACGAGCGTGACGTTTTCACGCACCAGCGGATGTTGGGACAGGTGCGTGTCAATCTCACCAAGCTCGATTCTGAAACCTCTGATTTTGACTTGGTCATCTGCCCTGCCGGAACATTCCACATCTCCTGTCGGCGTGTAACGACCAAGATCACCACTTCTGTAGAGCCGATCGCGGGCTCCGAGGTAGTACTTCGCCCAAGGTTCGTTTTTGTACTTCTCTTCGAATCTCGCCTTGTCCAACGCAAGACCTCTCTCATGACCAGGGAACCAATTGTTGACGAATTTCTTGGCAGTCAGCTCCGGAGTTCCCAGATATTCTTCTGCAAGGCCGGAAGCCCGAACATAGATTTCTCCAATCTCGCCGACAGCGCACATCTTGGTGCGGTCAAACCGGTTGACCACCAACATCTGGACATTGTACATGCCGCGGCCTGCTGGGATGACGTCTTTCATGCCATCGAGGAAGCCCTCCCTTTCATTTCGTGAAGGTATTTCGTAATAGCTGACGGCTCTTTGGGTTTCGGTGGTCCCGTACATGTTCACGATCCGGACATTCGGGGCTAAGTTCTGTAGCGACCGGCAATCCCGCTTGATCAGAATGTCCCCAACGAAGAAGGCATGATGCAGGCTTTCGAATCTGGCTGTGGCACCTCCAACCAAGATTTGACCCATGGCCGGGGTCAGATGTGTCACCGTTGCACCATGCTCTCTCATCCATTCAGCCAATAGCTCGTTCTGGATATCGTTCTTGGAAGGCACCAGCAGCTGCGCACCGAGGAATAACGGGGTGAACATGTCCCGTTGGATCGGATCGTGCGCAATCCCACTGAGCATGGTGAATTTATCCCTCTCAGAGAGATTAAATGTCTTTGCCATCCAGTCAAAGTAGAATGCCAATGAGAAGTGACGGCCACGGACGCCCTTTGGCTTGCCTTCAGAACCAGACGTAAATGATAGGGTTGGGGTAGAGTCTGGCCCGACTACAACACCCGGGCTCTTCGCTCTACTGGCACGGACGGCCTGGAAGACATCTTCTCCATTCACCTCGCCGCCCTCGAGTAGGCCGTCATCCTGCAGGCGTAAAGCGGGGACTTCGGTCTTCAGCTCCAGGTTGTCGTTGATGAAGCCTCGCACCTTCTCGGAAAGCTCACCGGCATCTTGCGTGGCTTTGTCGATTATCACGAGCGCTCTCGGGCGTGAGACGTCCAGATAGATGTTTTGTCTGTCTGGTGGATAGGCAGGATCTAGCACGGAGAACGTGCCGCCGGCCTTCAGGGTGCCCATCACCGCAACGACGAGATCAACACCTCGGTAAGAGTAAATCATAACCACATCGCCTCTTTCTAATCCAGACTGGACCAGATGGTGGGCGAGGATGTTCGAGGCTTCGTGGATCTGCTGATAAGTGAACTTCCGCTCTGGGGCGTCCTCCGACTTCGTCTCCACCACACACGTCCTGTCAGGATGAGCTTCGGCATTTGCAGCGAATATGTCGTGTATGGCACCACGAAATGAGGACCACTCAAGATCACTTGTAGGATCAGGAATGAACGCCTGTTCCTCGGCAGTAGTGAAGGGAATGCCCCCAACAGGAGCGTTGCTGTCGGCTGCGGCATTCTCCAGCAGTTTGGTGAGTTGGGCCAGAACACACGCTATTCTGTTACTCGAGACAAGACGCTGGTTGTAGCGGGCAGTCAGACGCAGGTCGCCTGTGGGAGAGCAATAGTATGTCAATAAAAGGTCTGTTGTTTCCGCCCCGCCACGCGCAGCGGCGCCATCAATGTCGCTGTTGAGGGCAGCAAATCGGAACAGGATGGGTCGTTGTAATCGCTTCTGGATCGCGTCAAGCGGGACGATTCTGTCCGCAGCCGCAGCACAGAGGTCCTCTACTCGCTTCGCGAGCTGTGAGAAGGACTCAGAGGCCGTCACGCAAGCCTTCAGCACGAAAGAAGGAGCATTCAGACTGGCGTTGGTGCCGATACTGATGTCTTCGTCGCCGGTCAATCTGCTCACGAGGATGATCAGGGCCGTCTGAACGATAGTCGTCACCGAGCCCAGGCTCGATAGTGCCTTCAAGGCATTTGTAGTCGAGGCCGGAGCGGACAGTGACTCTACCGCCTCGATCGGTCGCTTGGGTACATTTTCGGAGGTAGCTTCAGGATAATCTCTTGTCAACGGCGATATTGTCTGATCCTGCAGCTGATGAGCCCACCAGTCCAGCGCACCCTGGGAGATCTTTCCAGGATCCATTGTCGAGCCTTGCGCGTGTGACCCAGCAGCGACTCCATAGAATTTGAAAATATTCTTGCTGCCGCTTGACAAACGCTCGGCCGAAATCGGCCAGAGTGGAGACCATCATTATCTAGCTCTCATTGGTCCACGCCCAGAGCCCTGCAGCCCAGTCAGTGACTGTCGGCAAGCCACTGTGGCGCGGGTGGCGCCTTGCGGCTGCGGATACGGATACGGAAAAGCGAACCGTGGGTGCAGTCGCTTCCTTGTCCCTGCCATGGCTGCTCGTGTTCTTCATGCGGTCGTCAAACAAATCCCTAGTCCAGTACCTACCTCGGGCACAGTACGACTACGAGTGCCACACGTCTGCCCAGGATCCTTGTACGTACCACCGGGTACATCGTCCGTGGTTGTCACCTATTCTGTCGATCCTGCGGCCCGCGATCAAAAGGGACCTATATTCGTATGCTTCAGCCACGACCAGCAACTCGGCACTGTCAGCGACTCACCGTGTGCGGTAACTATGGGATATGCAACGTGAGACGTTGCGCCCACGTTCCATCGCCGAAACAAAAGTAGTGAGAGACCGAGCGCAAGTGGGTGGTTAAACTTCTTCACCCGTGCGCCAAGGTCAGAAGATCATTGGTTGCTCAGGTCGACGACAAGATCTAACCCCCATGGCAGATACTGCGCAGAGACACTTGGTCTCAGCAAATCGGACCAAAAGAGTCTCGATTTGATCTCTTGTTGCCCGAGACGGTCTATTTCGAGGAATGGATTGCTTTTGGCCCTTGCCCACTGCTGTTGGCAGTCAGAGTGGTATCCGAAGCTGGCGACATGGGCTCGGCGAGGGAGTTTCATCAACTATATATGTTGAAGGCCTCCGGCCGGTGTGCGAGAATGCTTTTGAAATCTGCAAGACTGAGGGACACTTTCGGTGACAAGACTGTGCCGAAAGACTAACTGAAGCTACCCAGTTGTACTGGAAAGCCTGTTGATTATCGAAAATGTCGACCCTACACTCATCCAATCCACACCCAAGCCAATACAACGCCCATAATGATGGTCATTATCCACCTGGACAACAGCATGGAGATCCAAACCAATACGATGCGAACGACTATGATGATTATTACCCCAGCCGCGGGAATCAGCACATGCCAGGCCATTTCGACGACGGCGAGTATGACGAAGATGATGACCTTGAGTGGGGCCCAGACTCAGAGGGAAACGGACAATACGGACACGGGCAATTCGGACACAGCACAAGATTGCCAGGTGGTTGGGACGACGAAGAGGAAGATTTGCCCGGGGAGGAAGAACATCACTTGCCTCGCCCGATACGCCCTGAGCCCATGCGCCATGAGCCGGACCACGATGAGGCGGAGTTTGAGGGGCAGGAGCACTATGAGGCGGAGGATGAGGAGCAGGAGCACTTTCCACCGCAGCACACTGTACCGCAGCACCCTGACCCTAAGCTAGATTTGGACTGGCCGGAGGACGCTTCGTCGTCGGACCCTTGGTCGTCCCACCCTTCGACGTTGCCCTCTAGACAGCAGCCTGGGTCGCCGCAACCTGGGCCGTCGCACCTGGGGCCGTCGCACCTGGGGCCGTCGCACCTGGGGCCGTCGCACCTGGAGCCGACGCCGCAACCTGGGCCGTCGCGTCCTAGGCCGGACACGACTATTGCCGACGACCCAACATTCAAAGACAACTCTCATCACACCACGCCCGCGAACAATCAGCCGCCCAAACAACAGAATATCCCACCATACCAGGCCGGTCAGAATCGCCGCCCCTTCCCTAAGAAGGCCCCCTTCGCAGCCGCTCCCACAGCCTCCGCTGGGGGCCCCGCCGACAAATTCCGCCACGGAAGGGCGATGAAAACCTTCAAGCCGATGAGCGACGCAATCACCGACTTGGCAACCCGGTTCTACCACATCTCGGGCAAACCCAAGGCAACACTCGCATTCCAGAAAGCCGAACCAGAGATGAAGACCATCCAGAGCCTGCGCCTAAAGCTTGAGGAGCAATGCAAGGCTGCTGACAAGGCCTTTGAATCCTCAATGGGAGGGTCCTCGTCTCACCAGGGCTCAGCAATGGCCGAGCAACCCGTCCAGGACGTGTCGGCGATCATGAAGACGATTTTCAGCTTCAAGCAGCCAATCACAAACATGCAAAAGCACTTGAAACAGGTCGTCGAGGAGATGGGCCCCGTCGACAGATACAGGCTGTTCCAAAGAGAGAACCCAATCATAACCAAGTTGATGGAACAGGTGGCCTTCACGGGCGTCAAGCTCTTCATCCCGTCGGTTCATATTATCTAGATCCTCAGAGGACACACGTCGTCGGATGCCTCGGATGTGGATAGCCCGAGGGTGGCAGAAGTTGCTTGCCTTTGCGAGGCCGCAGAAGCCCTACGGACGCATTGTAGTGCTGGGATTGACTTTGGTGTTTGGGCGTTGCTGCGTTGCAAGCTGTCTCCTGTATCTCCGTCTCTGTTTGCATGTTGTCGGGCCGAGTGCAGTCACCGCGAGCATACACAAGCGGTGTCCTTACAAGTACCACTACTCTCCTTTAGCCTCAATTCAGCGTATGCATATTACACAACACCCCATCTGTTCCATTGTGCACTTCGGAGTAAGGAGTCCTTGGTCCTGACCAAAGATAGTGGGGCCATAAGACGCAATATCTAGGGTCTAGAATGCACCAAATGCAGTGCCTTCATCGCACTCGCACGTGCAGCCCGCCGCGTGAACCCATCAGCAAAGCTGTCAGGTTGTCAGGTGTACCTAAGGCCGTCAGGGACAAGCATAGCGCGGTAGAGGGTCTATTCCCAATCCGCGGACACGGCTAGCCATGGCGCGGTGGAGTTGTGGATGCAGCATTACTCTCTATCGAGGGACAGGAAAGTTCAGATACGGAGTGCAGCAGGGCCGTCGGCTTTCCGTGTCTGGCGGGTCATATTGAGAGTAGAGCATCGTCCCTCTGAGCTGCCAAGCGCTGTATGATGTGGTCGCGAGCCGACACCCACGCGACGTGGCCAAGTCTACTAGATTGGACGAACGGTCCTCGATAAGCCGATAGATGACCACTGTCAGGAACTGTCAGACACGGTCGTAAACGCAATAAGCGATGCAATGATGGAAAGGTAGACAGGCGCCTATGTACAGAAGGTGGAGTGACACGCATCTGGCTAAGCCCAACTGCGCGACTGCCAGTTGGTCACGTGAACATAGTCACGTGTAACCAATCAGCTGTGTTTGTGAGAAGGCTGCCGGATAAATGTCGCGCCGGATCCGCTTGGCGATCGGATGATGGCTTGATATTCGCGCAGCACTCTTGTGCTGTCTCCGACGAAACCAGTCTTCGGCATCCTATCGCTCGTACCCAGTCTCTCGCTCGGGCGATGGAGGGGCTATACACCTGCTTGAGATGCGCTAGAGCTCTCTCGGGCGGTGGTCGGCAACTGACGACCTCTAGACTTGTTCAGCGAATACCCAGTCGTCGCAGCTTCACCTCGACCTCCTCGTTAAAGTCACTGCCGCACAACCACTCGAGCACAGAGCCAACCGCAAATCCGAAAAGATCGATCCGGTCAGCATCTACTGCAGCAGCACCGGCAGCAGAAGAAGATAACTTTGAGCGACACAATATCCCGCCGACGGACTACGGCGAATGGCGGGCCCATGGGCGAACAGTCCTCGGCCCCGACAACTTGTTCCATCCTTTCTCGAGATCGCCCATAGCAGCGATTCGGCAGCGAGCACGGTTTATGAAACAGCACGCGCTATGCCCCCATCCCGCACATCAACAGACTCGAGTACCCACCTCACCGCACGATCCCGAATCGAGGAAGATCGAAGGCGTCAGTAACGAACCGCCGGCACATGTGTCTTTCGAGTGCCCAGACTGCGGAATAGCCACCTACTGCTCAGAGGAACACTGGGCCGATGACTTTGAAGCACACTTGGAAATATGTGATACCCTGAGGCAGATTAATGGAGACGACCATGATCTGAGGTCTGGAAGATGGTTTCCCGAGTTTGAGTATCCGGGTCCGCAGATCGACGAGGCCTTGGTCAACATGACCAACTGGGATACATTTCTCTACACGCGCCAGTTTGAGGCAATAAACCACGATAGGAGCATGCGGCAGGCCACGAAGTTGTTGACCTATCCTGTCACTCTTGGAAGTGTGCTCCACGAGCTGAGCCCATACACGATCCGAACTGGAGGGAGACTTACTGCAGAGGGTTTGAAGAGTTTGTCAGGTAAGATTCCGTCGTCGGCCTGGCGATAGCGGGGATTTTCTGACGACGACAGCATTACGATATACTTTGCATCCGCCGAAGACCGGCCAGGGCAAGGACATCAAAGGTCTCAGGCTCTCAAGTCCCCCTGTCCGGCTATTCGTCCTCGGAGCTCGAGCTGAATCTTCACTGCCCCGTGAGGTCTGGAGTCAACTATCATACCTTTTCCCCCAGGCGCTCATCCATCTCATCTTCATTGGCCCCGAGTCTATGCTGAACCGTGACTCGGAGTTTCCACTCCCCGAACGCAGCGCCACTAATCCTTTCGGAGCGATTGTCGAGGACCGAGTATCGGCCAAGATGAAGATCACCACCTACGTCGATTACTTCCATACCCTACACGAAGCCAATACTTTCTACCCTTACGACCCCTACTTCGACTGCTTCATGCTCTTTCATCCCGGCCTGGGCCATCCGGCGTCCTCGCACGAGTGGGAAAAGACCTTGCCCCAACTGCTTGAGACGAAAGTCCCTGTGATATGCACCGGATACACGGAATGGGACATGAACCGTGACTGGCAGTGGGTCATGGAGAAATGTGCGGGCGAAGTCGACCTTCTGATGGAGCCTGGGGAGAATCGGTTCCGGTCGTTACGGTGGGACTTGAACGACCTAGATCCGCAGGACATCAGTTGTGGAAACTGGGGTGTCTGGGCTTTTAGAGGAAAGAGGTATGTCCTATGTTCTGTCACGACGTTGACTACGTTCGGCCAGATTTCCGGCTGGAAAATATTCGAACACGCTTGCTGACCGCGATGACCCCACAGGTACGAGGCAACGACACGGGACACTACCTAGAGCGAAGTATTTCCTCAACCCTGTACAAGTATTCCAGGATACTGGGCCCAAGTGGGTTCGGAGTTTAGAAATCAGCCACCTGCGCCTCGCGATGCTCGCGCAGGGTCGAAAGTTCCTGTATGTGAAACTCACGGCGACTGTGTATGCAAGCCGCTCCTGTAGAGTCTCGCCTGTGTACAAGCATTTGATGCCCAGCCGGGTTGCTTGTGCCGTGCTGGGATATTACACAGTAATATCACCTTCGAGAACGCCTCAAGCTTTGATCCACATCGCAACCCGCAGGCTGATAGGTCGCCGTAAGATCGTGATGTCAGGCTTTCCGCTGGGCAGACTCGGTCCGCCACAAGAAGCGTTTGCATAAGCCAAGCATTGGAAGGGTGCATGATTCATCTCGCGCATCGCTCTGAAGTCGAGCTCTGTCTGAAAGGCGAGTTTGGGCACTGCCTCCCGCTCGCTGACTCCTGACGTTTTCGGCGTATTCCCGAGCGTATCGATAGCGATTAGTGATGTTAGCGTGTTTGCTGTGGCCAATGTCAGTGCTGTGTCAAATACACGGGCGTCATGCTATTCACTAAGAATCTGGGGGGAAGCCACACTTCCAGGTTGCCACTCACCACTGATGATCCAACACGTTCAGTTCCCTGTTCGTCGGCGGATTCGCATTTTAACAAGTGGCAGTTCCCTATATCACTTTCGAGTTTTCGCTCCTTTGTTCGTATCAACACAATACGTCAAGCGATTGAATTTGAAAGTTCTGCTCGCATTGCACCTCCTCGTCTACCTTGAGCAAGCGCAGAATCCAGCGAGCGAGCACAGTGAACCACCCCTTGCGGCACTGCACGGAGTCCAGTCAGACGCGGCAGACCTTGATTTACACGCAATTGACGTTCCATAAACCAGCGCAAACATGAAGTTTCTCCAACTAGCCTCCCTCCTATACCTCACCTCCCTCGTTACCTCCGCTCCACCGCTTGCGCCGTCGACAGACATCTCGGTTCGCGACGCCTCCCCACTCGACCAATTCGCGCATCTTGAAAAGCGCAAAGGCGGCGGAGGTGGTAAAGGAGGCGGAAGTGGTTCTTCTTCCTCGGGAGGCTCTTCAAGTGGACGCACCGGGTCTGGTAGCAGTTCGGGCTCAGGGTCGTCAACACGGCCCAACGGCCAGCCATACTCATTTTCCCCCGCGAGCAACGTGGGTGGACGGACAATATCTGGCAGCGGCACGCCCAAACAGTATGGTAATCGATACGCTGGGGGAGCGGTGGTGCCTTACACCGCTGGCGCAAGGAGCCCTACACTAGGCGTTGCGCCGTTCTTCATCGGGGCTGGTGCGCTTGCTTTCTTCCCGGCACTCTGGCTTTACGGCAGTGTATTTGCCTACCCGTATGCTTATCCCTACCACTGGATCGACAACAATGGGCAGAATCGCACCTCGAACGTCACATGTTTGTGTCAGCGGTATCAAGTTTGCGGCTGTGACCCGGACAACAACTCGACCTTCTTGACCCAAGTAGTCACCAACGGTTCAACGACACCCGTTGCGCCAGTCAATACGAGCACTGTGCGCACGGTAACGTTCGACAATGGCACGACGAGCACCTACATCAATGGAAGCCTAGCCAATGGAACGACTGCGAGCGGCGGCACCGATCCAAGTGATCCGAGCCAGGTCAGTCCGGCCGTGAGGTTGGCTGTGGAGATGAGTGGCTACTGGGTCATGGTTCTCACGGTGGCGTTAGGGATCTGGACCGTCGCTTAGAGCAGACGAGGTTTGTTGAGTGGGCAGTATATCCTACATTACGACGGAGCAGCAGTTGTTTCTCATTCAGAAGCAATCGCTTCCACTGAGTTGAAGCCGGCGAATTTTGGCCCACGGACGGGGTTTTGGATGACCGCCGATTCTGACCCCCTGGTTGTGAACATTTGCAACGACACTCCTTGTGAGGATTTGGAATGAATGGGGCTGTATGCCTGCCGAAGCACACATAAAGGGCGGCACGTTGGACTTTTGTGAGCTTTTCATACCCAGCGTTCGAACAGAGTTATGGTGTAAACTACAACATTGGATGCATTGTGCCGTTTCTTCGATCTTCTTGTCATAATTAATGTGGAAGCCAGTTGGTCGCGCTGTAGACACCAGATGCTTCACATCTCTCCCACAGGCGCATCGAGACTTGTCCCGGGGGTAGGAAACATAATCGATGGCAGTCCTGAGCAGGTCGTCGCCAGAGCGTAGGACTCAACCCCAACAACAATGTCTGGGACACGGGCGCGAGCACTGGCCAGGAAAAGACCTACGGAATGTGCAAGTGACCACAGCATAACATTGAGTTTCCGAAGTCTTGACCTATGTACAGCTCCTTGTCAACGGCCACCATGTTGATCAGCCAGACGGCGGAGTCCATCTACTCCGTCAGACCTGTGTCTCTCGGCCCTGGTTCAGCACGACGTCCCGTGATATTTGTGGGTTGTGTTGGAGATCGCCTGTTACCTGTTCCTCGTCCACCGGGTCACCAGCCATGCGTGCCTATTATTCATTAGCTGAAAGACAAGCTCCATGGGGCGCACGAGGGGCTCACCCGCACGGCGCCAGGGCCCCCAAGCTCTTCGAACAAACCGCCCTCGTATTCTTTAGGAGCACTTGGTTTGCCCGGATATGTGGCCGACACGCCATAGTACACTCCCAGCACGGCCGAGATAAAGCCCGCCCACAGCAACAGACCTCTGGAGGTCGACATGAAAGTGTAGTCGTGTAACGAGAAGACACCTAGCACATCATTGTCTTCGTGGACGGGTTCTCCGAAATTGCGCATTTCCTGCTTATCGTCCCAGTCGGCGTAGGGGTCGCGGTGCGATCGCTTGACGCGGGGAGGGTTGATGTAGTTGTTGTTCTTTCAACGCAGTAGTTAGCATACTGGCCTGTCCGCGTGTGTCAGTCTCAAATGTGGTATTTTACGCACCATTTCAGGGTCGTCCTGTTGGTTCTCGACATTGGCGGGCGCTGCCTTTGCACATGTTGTACTGGAGAACTGAGCTCGCGGGAGGCCGAGTCGAGGTTGGAATTGCGGTGGTGGCTGAGGTCGGGCGATGGATCGAGCAGACCTTGCCGCGAAGGTCACGGCTCGTCGAGAGAACATGCTGGACTAGAAGGGGCCCCCAAGGAGCTGCACAGGGAGTCTCGCCGTTCCAGATCAGTGCATCAAGAGAGTTAAGCCGATGGTCGTGATTGTGGAGAGGTGAGGTTTGCGGGCTGGATGAAGGCAAAGGAATGGCAATGCTGGGCATTGATTGGGCTGATGGGGGGAAGGAAGCTGTCATGCTCAGTGCCTGTTCTTCTCGCCCTGCGCTCCCTTCCGATTTCCTTCCACCTCGATATTTTCCACCAACACAGCCAACTTGCACTGCCCGTCACCAGCCGACCGTCGTCGCGAGCACACTCAAACTTCGTCAGCCGCCCCGACTCGACCGCCTCTACATTCTGGCCCGCGATTCGACTACTTTGGCCCCCTACTGGTGGAACATGCCCGTCGCCAAAAAGGTCGTTTTGTGAGGATACAATTTTGCCATGACAGGCGCAGGACGAGAGACCGCGCCCGATGCCGACCCCGACCGGCGACTCGCTCACGCACTCCAACACTCCGGATCAGCAACGACGGCAAGGTATGCATCATCAAAGTAACGGTCGACTCGTTCAAACTGACTATCGATCAGACCCGCTGCATTACAGACGTCAATCGCCCGTTCGCGCCCACGCAACCCCTCCCACCTCGTCGGTCGAACACCATGCCAGCCACGAGGATGCCAACCATGAGCCGCCGGCAAAGAAGCGGAAGGTTGCAGGGCCCGAGCATAAACAATCTCCTCGACCCGTCTCCCCTCCATGGCGACGGGTCGTCGCAGAGGGCCCGACATCCTTCGTAGTCGATGGTCGTCGGAAGTCTGGACGAACAAACATCATCCCGCTCGACCTGCAACCCCAGTCGAATAAGAGGCAGACCCGCGCGGCGTTTGACAAAGTCAAGGAGGAACATCAGAAGCATGTCAAACCCGTGTACAACATCAACATGTCCGCTCGGAAGTCCAACTGCGAGGTTGTCGTGCCTTCACGCTCGCCATCGGCCGTCAAGCGCGCTGCTGTTCCTCCCACCAAGAGCCGCGACTCCGCCACCCACGCGCACATCGCCAAAATAGAGAACTTGCAAAGACAGATCAAGGAACTCGAGAAAGCCCGCTCAAAAACTTCACATACCCCGCAGCCCAAGTCCTCCAAGTCTCTCAGTCGTCCGGTCAGCGCTGGCGGTCGCCGCCCTCGGCCTAATTCACTCAAGGTGAATGGTGCTCACAAAGAACAACGACCCATCAATGGCACTGTCAAACTCGAATCAGAGAGTGATTCCTCCGACCTTGACAGATCTCTGAGCGAGCCCGAGGTGTCTTCCAGAGCACCAACCCCACCACTCACTCTGCGCAAAGTCATCTTTCGCGTCCAATTACCTCCGCCCACTGTTGCAACTCCGGCCAATATCCCACCATCGAAGAAGTTCGCAAGTTTTGAAGAGTTCTTGGAAAAAGATGAGACAGAGCCGCGGCTGGCGGAGGACACCTTGACACAAGACCAGATCAACAAGGAAGCCATGGTGAGGACCAAAGTCAGACAGGCACAAAAACGAGGAGGAGTACTGGACAAGAAGTTGATGGACACGCTGCCCAAGCCACAAGCCGAGCCAAGAAGACAATATGCCCATCATGATCACCTGCTCGCGCACGTGTTGCACTTTCGGAAACTTCTCGAGGTGGAGACCAAGGATCATAGGAGGAAGGCTCAGATCCTGGCTTATGAGGCCAAAAAGTATGTCGAGGACAAGCAGAGTCGAAACAAGGTCAAGACTGTCGCCGAAATCGTGCAAGAACAGCGGGAGGCCTGCATTGCGGCTTATCGGTCTGTGGTCAAGGATGTCGACAAACTTTGGACCGCCGTCAGAATAGAAGTCAATGCCATGCGACAAAAGGAGTATGAGGAAGAGCAACAAGCCAAGATGAAGGGCCACCTCGCTCGAGTGTTGGATCGGACTGATCAGATGCTGAGTCGAGCTGCGGAGCAGGATGATATGACAACGGATACTGACACCGACATGTCTGTGGACGAAACCATGGACCCTGAGTCGGAAAACAGTGAGCAAATGTCGGACAGCCAGACAGAGTCCGAATCGGAACCAGACAGCCAGGACGCCGATGCTGAGATGTCACTGGAGGAACTGAAAAAGAAGTATGACAATCTGCACGACCAGTCAATGGAGACAGAGAATGCAGAAGAGGCACCAGGGCCGAATGAAGACCGGCCAAGTCCGAATCTGGATCAAGAAGAGTCAGATCCCGAGACCGAGATGGATTCGGAGTTTGACACAGATGGGAGCGAAGACGAAGACGAAGACGAGGACGAGGAAGATGAGAGTGAGGAGGAGGAAGCCGAGCCTGACCTTCTTTCTATGCTCTTTTCGAAAACTCAACGCGCGGAAATTGAGAAAGGAGCCGACCAGGAGGTCGAAAAAGGAGAGTCCGGAAGTCGCAACACCGACCCTGTGGAAGAAGTGCCAGAGCAGCCGAGGCCGGATGGCGACCAGTCTGAGGGGCCTGGCGTGCCAGATCATATCGCCTCAGAAAAGGTGGAAGGCAATGTTACAGAACGGCTTGGTGTGAAGCTGGAAGTAGTAGCTAGTCAACAGGGTGAAGACGCTGTGATACGAGACGCCACATCACCTTCGCATCTGGAGATACCTCACCTTCACTCGGAGGATGCTGTGAGTCGGGACCCCAGCACTCATACTTCTCCCCACACCACAGCCACCAAAGTCTCCGATCCCGACTCTGTCTCGTCGATTGATGCTCAAATCGATCCGGCCCCGCCTGCGACGCCTTCAGACACTAAGCCGACCATCGAGACACCTGTTCCGAGTCTGTTACGAGGTACTCTACGCGAATACCAACATGAAGGCCTGGACTGGCTGGCCAATCTTTATGCGAAAGGACGGAGTGGAATTCTAGCGGATGAGATGGGTCTCGGCAAGACGATTCAGAGCATTGCGCTTTTGGCTCACCTTGCTGAAGTCCATGAGGTCTGGGGTCCCCATCTCATCGTTGTCCCGACAAGTGTCATGCTGAATTGGGAAATGGAGTTCAAAAAGTTCTTGCCTGGCTTCAAGATCCTGACGTACTACGGTGATCAGACAGAACGAAAGGAAAAGAGAAGGGGGTGGTTGGCAGACGACAAGTTCAATGTATGCATCACTTCATACCAGCTCGTGTTGAAAGACAAGGACTCTTTCAAGCGACGGAGATGGCACTACATGATTCTGGATGAAGCCCACAACATCAAGAACTTTCGCTCGGAGCGATGGCAGACGATGATGACCTTCAACACCAGAGCTCGGCTGCTTTTGACCGGCACCCCTCTTCAAAACAACTTAACTGAGCTATGGTCACTACTGTTCTTCCTCCACTATGGCCAAGAGGACCAGGGTGAGGACGACGCTTTTGCGGGCTTGAAGGAGTGGTCGGAATGGTTCAAACGGCCCGTCGAATCAATCCTCGAGCATGGCCGGCAGGTCCTGGACGAGGAAGATCGCGAGCAGGTCGCAAAACTGCACAAAGTCATTCGCCCATTCCTTCTGCGCAGACTCAAAGCAGACGTTGAGAAGCAGATGCCTGCCAAGTACGAGCATGTGGAAATGTGTCGGTTGTCCAAGCGCCAACGCCAACTCTACGATGGCTTCATGTCAAGAGCCCAAACGAAGGAAACACTGGCCTCTGGGAACTACCTGTCAATCATCAATGCACTGATGCAGCTGCGCAAAGTGTGCAACCATCCCGATCTATTCGAGACGCGGCCCATCAACACATCACTCGCAATGCCTAAAGCTGCTTCGGCCGACTTCGAAATCAAAGATTTCTTGGTGCGTCGGAGACTTATGCTGGACGCCTCGAACGATCTAGACCTCGACTTTTTGCAGTTGGCCCCGATTTCCAATGAGGGGATGTCCATGATTGAGGCAATCGAGACTAGTAAACGACATGCGTACCACCAGTTTAAGGGCTTGCGTGAATCTCAGTCAAGGAGGATCCTGGCCTCTTCCGGTGTCTTCAGCAGCAACGCACCGAGTGCTTCGTCATGGCGTGGAGACAATCGCATTGGTGTGCTCGGATCGCTGGAGAATGTTGGGCGGAGAGCTCGGCTTCAGGAACTCGATCGCACCATGTATTACGAAGCCTACAGGCACCATCAGCACCCAATCTACGGCCGAGGCCTGATCGAACAAGTTACCATCGACGCCAAATATGAGCGACTGTCCAGACTCTCGCCGCCTAGAGTCTTGTCGAAATGGTGGGAGTCCGAGATGCCCGTCCAATTTTTCGACATGGTCCACTCTGTCCAGTCACGTTCCGAGCAAATGCAACCCTTTGTGGAAGGGTATGCATGTGTCACCCCCTCTGTCGTGGCAACCGACCTCTCCACCCGAGCTGTCACCGAAGCGGGCGCCCAGCTCATTAGAGAAGCAGCGCAGACAACCTGGAGGTTCGACCGGGACCATCCAGATCCATTCCACCTCGCTCGCATGAAACTATCAATCGCCTTCCCGGACAAGCGGCTCCTCCAATATGACTGCGGTAAGCTGCAGAGACTCGACAAACTCCTCCGGAAACTCCAAGCAGGAGGCCACCGTGCCCTGATCTTCACGCAAATGACCAAGGTCTTGGACATCCTGGAACAGTTCTTGAACATTCATGGTCACCGATACCTGCGACTTGACGGAGCCACAAAAATCGAGCAGCGCCAGATCCTCACCGAGAGATTCAACAACGACAATCGCATTCTGTGTTTCATCCTGTCTTCCCGCTCCGGCGGTCTCGGCATCAACCTTACTGGTGCAGATACCGTCATCTTCTACGATCTGGATTGGAACCCCGCCATGGACAAGCAGTGTACAGATCGGGCTCATCGAATTGGCCAAACTCGCGATGTGCACATCTACCGGTTTGTGAGCGAACACACGATCGAGAGCAATATCCTCCGAAAAGCCAATCAAAAGCAAATGCTCGATGATGTGGTCATCCAAGAAGGTGATTTCACGACGGATTACATGGCCAGGATGAGCTATCGGGACATGCTTGACACTGGTGACGGAGAGGGCGAGCAAGACGAGGCCGGCAGAGCCATGGATCGTGTCCTGGGCACCGCGGGGGACAAGAATATCGTTGTGCTTGAACAAGCTGAAGACCAGGAAGATCGGGCAGCGGCCAAGGTTGCCGCGAAAGAGATCCAGGTTACTGACGATGCCGACTTTGAGGATCAAGTAACCCGAGCGACCCCTCAGACGGGCGAAGCTCGCAATACACCTGCGGCGAGCACTGGTGTCGGTTTCGGCACAGACTCTGCTCCTACCGAGATGGTGGCAGAAAGCGAGAAGTGGCATCACATCGATGAATATCTGATACAGCTGCAGAGATACTTGATGAAGGACATCCCGTTGGAGGGCGGGGCAAATTCCAAAAAGGGGAAGAGAGGGCGGCGGAGAGACGAGCATCGCGTCAGAAAGAGATGAGCCACTGTTGTTGTTGTTGTTGTTGTTGTTGTTGTTGTTGTTGTTGTTGTTGTTGTTGTTGTTGTATGGCCGGTTATGGTGTCATAGTATGCGACAAACCTTGTGGATGCCTTGGAAACGAGCGTTTAAGTGAGATGGAGAGACGGCGTGAAGCCAAGAGCTCACAATTCATGTACGATACAGAAGATGATAAGAGGTGTCTCTCGATAGGCAGGACAAGGGTGAAAAGGCTCACCCTACCCAGCGAAGCCGAGAGAGAAGAAAGGGTATTACACACGTACAATCCACATGTTCAAATTCAGCCTTGTACCGTATGACTTCGACGGAGATCAGACTGGGGACATGGGACGAGCGGGATCTTGCACCCTCGATCAATGTATCAGTACAATAATTGAAGGGAGCATTAGCAGGACTCCGTACTGGGCGCGTGATATTGGAGGCTTATGTCCCACGTGACTTGCTGCACGAGCTAGCCGTTTTTGTTCTAAAGACCATCAAACTCTCCGATTGGTTCCTCGTCGAGCGTGTTTCTTCCCCGGAGTTCAAATGTCCGACGGTTGGACAATTCACGCACGCACTCGAGAGGATTGAGCTGACCATCAGGACTGTGCGAGGTGACCGACGACACTGACAGGATGGAGCTGCAATAATCCGCCAATATGTCTTCGATTCTGCGATAGATTTGCCTTTGTGCGCGTTCAAGCATTGTATATTTGTTGCCCCTTTCCTCCAGTCGTTCGCTTGCTCAGTACGCCCAGTCAGCCATGGCTCCGCGCCACTTCACCAGATACATAATCATCGCCGCAATCTTTTTGATCGGCATCCTCATATTCACGTCCACGTCGGACAGATCCCCCGCGGGAGTCATCGACGCACTGCAATATCCGGACGGCATCCGAGACCTCGTCCCCAAAATCAACGTGCCCAACAGTCTGCGCTGGTCCTTCCAGAGTTCTGCACACAAGCCTCCGGAGCAAAAGAACAGCACACATGAAGGCAGCTCGTGGTACAGCGATTGGAAGTGGTTGAACCCTTTCTCCTCCTCGGTCACTCTCGATGAGGACCGGGTCGTTTTGCCTCCGCTGGCTGACCGACCGCCCCTCTATACCTTCTACGATGCGTCAGCCAAGAAAGATGAAGAGACGAAAAAGATCGACCAGGAGTTCTTGTTGACCTGGAGGCAAGCGTGGTGGGCCCATGGCTTTCGCCCGGTGATCCTGACGGACGCCGAAGCAATGGGCCACCCACTCTATCAGACTCTGCATACCAAAGGCATGCCCGCGACGCTGGAACAGGACTTCCGAGAATGGCTCGCATGGGCCCATATGGGCACTGGACTATTCGCAAGCTGGCACTGCTTGCCTATGGCCGCCCACGATGATGACCTGCTCTCCCATTTGCGCCGCGGACAGTATCCTCAACTCACCAAGTATCAAGGCTTGGGATCCGGGCTTTTTGCCGGCGAAAAGTCTCAAATAGAAGATGTCATCAAGGCGACTCTGGACGACGTCAAACTCAGTTCCTACAAGGCAATCACCGATGCCATCGACTCAAGTAGGTTCAAGGTCGAGCAGCCGACATCTATCGCTTGCTACGACTCGAAGACGGTTCCCTCGAAGTACCCTGTCCTGGCAGAACTGATGAAGAAAGACCCAAACAAGGGTCGGCGTTCGTTACTTGAACTTATGCGAGCCCATCTCCACGTCACGTGGCAGAACACCTTTAGCACTGGCATCGTTGTATTACAGCCTCTTGCAGCTCACACATTTACTCTGGTTAAACCTTCACTAGACCTGGCTCGACTTCTTGCGGAATGTCCCAACTCCATCTTGCAGTCATCCTGTCCACCAAACCATCCAAAATGCTCCCCGTGTACAGGTTCCAAGCTCGGCGTCAAAACCGCTCCCTCCTTTAGCAATACCTCTTCTCTGTTCACCATTGCTGTTGTGCCTCACCCGTACACCATGATCACTCTCACCAACCAGACGGACGACATTTCCGTTGCCCACATACGACGAAATACTGACCGCGACCCATGGATAACGGCCGTCACTCGAGATCTATTAGGAGACGCCCGTGGAGGCCCAAGCCGTGTGGTAAGCTTGAAAGATGCAGTAGCATCGGAATATGGCAGAAGCCGCTCCTTGTGGTTCACTACCGAACACTTTCCTGCGTCTTTCAACCCGCCGCCGCCTCCGCCCAAGTCGCCTACGAATGACCGGCCTGTTGAGGAAAAGATAGCGCCTTTCCCAGAAGACTGGCTGGAGCACCTCGATTGGCACTTCGGGTTTCCCGTGCCAAGGACGACGGTCTCTCATGGGGAGTCACTACCTCCGGTTCCGGGGCCTGAGCGCTGGGCTAAAGTCCCTGCCGGTCTCCCTGTTGAACGTAAGAAAGCTCATGAGCCCGACCCGCCCACAGAAGAGCAAGCGGCCATAGAGGTCGAGCTCCTACGCAAGGCTAGAGAGACCATCAACAGTCAGGACGAGGCTGTGCTTAAAATCCGGAACGTCGCAGAGGCGTGGAACCTGGCCGACACCGAAGCTTGGAAGTTCGTCAAGAGCTTCCGAGCCCGTCAGGTTGTCGAGAGGTTGAAGTTCGAGGAAGAGGAGTCTGTTTTTGAGACTGGAGGTGTGAGAGGCAATAGTCGCTGGTGGGGCTCATGATATCCATCCCCTCGAAATCGGAGTGTCCGGGGCATTGCCTGTCATCAAGTGGGCTCATCCGAGCCTGGAACTTCGACCCTGGTTGCTTCTTGGACTGTGAGCGGCTGTGCGATCTTCTGAATCAGATACCGCGTATGATGGGCCCACCGGGGCCAGACCAAGGTTGCCGCGGCAGAGGCAATACAGATCCACACTATGTATTCAGCGGTCAACAGGTGCGGTGCTTCAGTGGTACTGGGGCCGACTCTCCAGCGTCTCCGTGCGTAGTCACGGACACGACGTGATGCATACCCGATCACTTCTTGGGCGAACAGAATCGTGCCTACAGCATGCAGGATGGGCCGCCAGTGCTCCTCCTTCGCGTAGTGGGGCAAGTTCTTGGAGTCTCCTCTCAGCAGCTCGAAAGACGGCTCCAGGATGACGCACAAGCATATCCCTCGAACGGTTTGTTGGAGCATGAACCAAAAAGTATCGGATCTCCCAAGGAATTCAAACACTGCTCGGACAACACCTCGTCTCCGAGGCACGATGATCCCAGCACTCGCACTGGGAGTAGGGACAGCTGCTTGTGGGAACTCAGCGCTCCGGCTCAAATTAGCTGCTGCCACGGGAAGTCGTGGTGTTGCACAGGCAAGACTCGAGCTGTTGGCGGAAGAACATGTTGTGACGGATCCCGGAACGGCAGTTTGATACAAGCCACGGCCAGAGGCTAACCTGCTGCTCGCCAATATGGGTTCAGCTCGAACATGCCGTGCCGGTCCAAGATCATCCAAGTCGACGTCGGAGTCTTCGTCGACTGCAGCCATTGGCTGGGCCCGGCCGGGCGAGCGGTGAATTTTCTTGGCCGGACTGTGGTTTCCCTTGCTTGAAGATGACCCTGCGGGTTTTGTAATGGCCGAACCTGTGGGATTGGACTTTTGCATGGATGATGGGGTCGCACTCGACTTCCTGGGCGAAGAGCGCAGTCCTGTGACTGGGCCAACGCCGACTGATGGAGCACTCAAATTGTTCGATCAATCACCGAAGCTCACGACCTCGATGGGCCTACTCCTCCTTTCCTTTGGCAGTGGTGTCCTTCGGTATATTTCGACAGAAGGAGCAACAGGAGCACAGGCCGGTATCGTTCTTGCAGGCACAGCCTCCTTATGCATCCTCGGACACTGGAGCATATCGTCCCAAGTTCCCTCCCCTGTCGCCATGGCAGCTATCTCTCTTGCGCCCCTGGTCCTCAATTGGCTACTTTTCATCACGCTGGTCATGGCTCCGTGGGACACTTCAGCAAGCGTCGCGCAACTCATTCCATGGTCGCAGGGTATCCAGCCTAGTTCGCTCGGTCGAGACCATCTTCTTAGGCCTCTTTCGGCGATTTCCATGTCGATCAGCTTCATCCGGTTCTTTATCACGTCGATGATCTTTTGAACGTTGACGGCTCTCATCTCCGGGATATCATCACCATCCGCGTCGAAAGTGACATTGAACGCTGTGGCTATAGCATCATTGGGTATGTACGTGGTCAGTTGATACCACAAGACGAAGCGCACTTGATGCGGTTTCCAGGTGTACTCTTCCTCTACACCATGGTCATTCTCAACCCAATCGTCGATGAAGAAGTGCTGGGCGAGTCGGTCGGCAGAGAGAGACGGGCGGCCAGTGTGACTCCCAGGGCTACGGCGTTCGCGGACGCGGTTCGTCGGATGCATCATACCGCGGCTTAACGGCTGTCGTTGAAGGGAGGCTGGCGCCAACTATACACTTTGCATGCTTTCTCTTGCTAAATAGGACGACTTGTCATCTGGTGTGCGATGCAGGAAGTGTATGTGGCTACTTCGTGGGGAGATTAAGCATTCCAATGGTGGCTTGGAGGCACGTGGTGTTTGTTGTCCAAACAGCGCCACTGCATACCAAGGGCGTCCGGGACAATGCATGGGCAGTGGTAAGCTATCCTGATCGCCCGCTGGATACAGTACACTCTGTACGTATCTTGGAACATCTAAAGAAGCATTGTCACAGTGTAATCTAGGAAGGAGGATATTGTGGACCACCCTTTGAACATGTAACAGCCATGAAAGGCCATCAGTACGGTACCTCTCTTTACCTGTAGACGTCTGTGATCCTAATGGTGGTAGCCAATGCGCAATATGATACAACACAATGCAATCCAATATAATACAGCTTAACGCAACAACACAAAACACCAATCCCCTAGCCAGGGGAGTTAGTTACAGAGCTGTCCGTGCAAGTCTCTCCCTTTGTACTGTACCGTTAGAGGGGCGGCGCATCCGTTTTTATAGTGAACACGGGTGAGGCTTCATTGCCAACGGGCGTACCTCTCTGTGGCGGCAGGCACTGCCCCTCTCACTCTCAACTACCCTACATCTTGAAGGAAACGTACGACGTCTGTAACTGAGTATAGTGTATTGTCTATCCGTATCTATCCCCTCTATGAAATGTCGAATGCAAAAGACAAAAATAAAAAGGAAAGGAGCGCAGCCTTCCTCGATCAGAACGCTGGGTTACTTCTCTGAACATTCTACAGGGGAACGGCAGCCTTGCCAACCACAACCTCTTCAGCGCCGTATTACAATAGTAGGATAGACGGAGTACTGTGGGAATATATACTGTGGACAGCTGTAGAGACGCCTAGATCTAGATTATTCCCCTTTTCAGATGAGTGAATATAATGGTGAAAGGAGACCGTCTGTCCTCCGCACTCTATAGGGATAGGTTCGCTACTGTAGTACTGTAGTACTGTACAAAGGGTGCACGCTATCGAGACACTCTCAGACTCTCAGTCACATTTCCCCCCATCCACCCAGTATCCATCCACCGATCGACATTCGTAAACAGCTGGTTACAACATCTAGAGTTAGTACCCAGCAACACGCGAAGCACTGTCGTATGCATCGCTTTGGACACTGGATGTCGGCCGTCAGCGTTGGACGTTGAATGTGAGATGTTGAATATTGAATATTGACTATTCGGAAGCACGGAAACTACGTTAACCCCCCTACTATGTACGAGGTACACGGTACTCGTGCTCTCGTTCAACGGAAGGATCTGGATCCGAATTGATCGACATGTGGGGAGAGGGGGAACGGATGCTATGTCTCCTCGTACGAATACTGCTACTCGTGACTCGTACACGGTATTGTAGTACTCGAGCGAGGCACCGGCTGCCTGAAAAGCCCATTCAAGAAAAGGTTTTGAATTGATCGACGTCCGGCAAAAAGTCGGATGCTGTGTCTACGAGTACAAGTACTCCGTATCGGTACTGATCTGCGTACCTGCGCTTGAACAAGGTACGGACCTAGGTACCTAGATACCTACCTGCTACCTGAAGAGGTAATGAGGAAGCAGGTCGGTGTGAAGTTGGATTTGCATTAGGGCTGACATAAGGGATCCTCTCTACTGTGGTCAACCCGGTGGTACGTACTGCGCTCTATGAGGTATCTAGCTCAGAACCTCGTGGGAGTAGGAGGAGGAGGAGCATGTAGGTTGTCGATCTGCCTGCATCACCTGTACATGTGTAGGCTCGCGCGGTTCGGTATCGTATCTTGTGCGGGTAGTTGTACGAGTACATTAAGGTATTAATGACGTGGCGTCGCGTGCTATGAGAGCGAGGGAAGGGAAGGGGTCATCATGTTTTCAGTACTGTACTCAGTACTGATTATGCCAAGACGGGTACGGGTACTGCTAGGTGACTGCGTACGGGAGAACAAATGCTAGTTGAAAACGCTGCACAGGACGACGAGACAACAGGATCTTGGCTTGTCCTGTACTGTCCTCTCCTGTAATGTCCTGCAGATCGCAACCCAAGCTCCTCTCGTGCATATTCGATTAAACTACGGAGTACTCCGTATCTGAAACGTACAAACGTACCGTGACGGTAAAGGGGTATCTGCTTGGTCGTCCGACGTCTCGGTGAATACGTTTCATGTCCTCTACGTAACGAATGACTGGGTTCCCTGTTTGCCCATTTCCTGGCCGAAACCAGATGCATAGTGGTCTTCTTTAGACCATTCCGTTCGGAGAAGCGGCTGGGCTGAGCTCTCGGTATTTCCGCTTCAGACCTCCGCGGTGGCGGTCTTTTCGCGGGCAACTTCTTGATCCGAAATGCCGCGGGCTTCGGCGTACTCGTCAGCGTCGAATTTGTACAGCTGTGGCGACGTGAGGCCCTTGCGACGGAGGACATTCGTCTTGAACCAATACGGCGCAACCTGGTTGATCTGGTAGTGCATGTGCGTGCGAGTGGGCACGGCAAAGACGTAATCCAATTCTTCGAGGGTCCGTTGTTTGGTCTCCGGGAGCCACAGGAAGATCATGACAAAGGCGACGGCGTTGAGACCGGCATAGAAGCCGAATGCACCTTGGGGAGTCATTGCCTGAAGCATACGCGGGAACGTCAGAGACAAGACCGAGGCCCAGAAGTTGTTGGTCGCCACCGCCCAGGACATGCCGACTTCACGATGAGAGAGTGGGAAGACTTCGGCCGAATAGGTGAAGGGGACGGGCCCTTCTCCGGGAGAGTAGAAGATGTCGAACAGGTAGATGAAGAATGCGATCATGCCGAGATGGGCGTCGCTGCTTTCGGGGATCCAGAAGCAGAATCCGGCCGCCAGGAGCGTCCAGCACATGTTCGGAAAGGTAAACAGCAGGAGAGCTCTCCTGCCAAAGGTATCAATCGTCCAGACGGCGGGCCATGCAAAGATGAAGTTGATGAGGCCGAAACCCCACGATGCCAACAGGGACCCAGTAACGCTGGCACCTGCTTGGGAGAAGACGGTCGAGGAGTAGAAGGCGATGATGTTGATGCCGCACATTTGTTGAGCGATCATGACAATGCCGGAAGCCTGGGTTGCGCGTCGGATGCGAGGGATGGTGAACAGCTCGATGAAGCGGGTGAAGATGTTGCCGTGGGTGGCGACTGCCGACTCCTCGACCAGGATATCCTCCTGAATCAGCTGTGCGTGGATGTAGTACAAATCACGGGCGGCCTGCAGAGGGCTGTTTCGGAGTCGGAGCAGAGCTTGGTACGCTTTTGCGTGACGGCCTTTCTTCATCAACCAACGGGGAGACTCGAAATCGGTCAGCTTGGGGCAGGTAGTCGATATGCTTCAAACTCACCTCCGGGCAGAAATAGATACCGATAACGAGGGGTACGGCTGGAATGAAAGCCGATCCCAACTGCAGACGCCAGGCAATGTCACCGGTATCCTTGACCGCCAAGTTCGCACCTGTCAAATCCGTATCAGCCAACTAGGTCGATGGTGCAATGTGCAATGACATGTGCGAGTCTGAAACGGGAGGACTCACATGTGCCGAGGAAAATCCCAAAAGCAGTCCAGGTCTGCCATGACATGACGAGACCACCTCGAATGTTCGTTGGGGACTGTTTCATGGTCAGTCCGCTCAAACTTGTCCCCAGAGCAGCCAGGGACGTAGAGAAGGACTCACATTCTCGGCGGAAAACACTGGAACCGTGACTTCTTTCAGGCCCATTCCAATGCCCAGCAGAATACGGGTGGCGACCAGCTGGCCCCAGTGCTGTGTGCAGGCTGAACCGATAGGAGCAAGGACGGAAAAGATGGCGCCGATGAAGATGGTTCCTCGTCGGCCAAACCAATCGTTCATGGGATCAGAAATCCATCCGGCACTGTTGGGTCAGGACACACACCCCTTTCCAGCGAGAGTTCGGTCAACTTACAAGAAGGCGATGCTTATATAGGGGCAGCTATTGACGAAGCCTACTAGCCACGAGTTGTCTTCGCAGTTGCCCTGAGCCTCGCACACGGGGCCAGAGTCAGGGATGCCGAAAGCGACTGGGAAGGTCAAGTTTGCGCCGTTGGACCCGGTTTGATCCCACCCCTGCACGGCGGCAGCGATTGAATTGAGGATGATGGTGAAGTAGAGCATCTTCGGATGCCTCCAGCGATGGGTGACTTCCTCACGAAGAAGCTGACGTTCGGGTTCATCCAGCTCCGGGATGTGTTCGATCGCATGAGGGCTTTGGGCCACCAACGCGCCTTTCTTGAGAAGGGGAAGGATGTCGTTCAGGTTGTTCTCGTTGGCGTAGTTTTCGACATCCTGCAAAAGCGCCTCTCTTGGTATACCAACGAGAGCTGCCGACGTGTCAGTGTCGAGAAGATCCGTGGGGAGGGGTTTGTCTGAGGGAAACGAGGCTGCGCCCCTGAAAATGTGCTCCACCGAAATGCGCTGACTAATCCAACGATACGACTCGGGCCTCCTCTCGCGGGATTGGTCAGACCAGTTCTGCGGGCGCATTCCCATGGGCATCGCCTCGTAAGTCCGACAGGATGGGTGCTTTACTCGGGTTTCCATGTCACAGGGTCGAGCGGTAAGGGCACTTACGGTTGCGGACTCTACAGAGGACGTCAGCGACACAGATGCAGAGGGGTCTAAGTGTTTCCACTCACTCTCCAGTAGTGTTCGCGGTCAGTTGTGCCAGGCTGGCCTTGCGTTTGCTCTCATCAGCGAAGAGCACACTCTGAAACTCCGTTAGTCTGCGAAGACATCGACCACACCCTAATCAATAGAGTGTTCTCGCGAGTGTTGGGCAAACTCACAGGCCTCCGCTCTTGCTCAGCGATGGCATCTTTGAGCTCGGCCATGGTGGGTTGTCAATGTCGATGATGCGAGGTGTCGGACGACTCAATGCAGTGGAGGGGGAGGGTGGAGGAGGTGGTGGTGAACCAGGTGGGAAGGACGAGAGTTTTATGAACGTCCCGAAGCGTGAAGTGAGCTTCACTAGCGCGCAGCGAGACTGTACCTTCTATTCACGCGACAGCACAATTACCACTTGTGACAGTACTCGCCAGGGAAGAGCTGCCATCGGGCGCAGGCAAGCTGTGGCGGCCCCCGACCCAACCAGATATCTCGCAACATGAATGAGGTGTCAAAATATCCCCCGCCGCACCCAGTGCTTACTGGGGTAGTCGTGGTGCCCTGTGGCGCTTGCATCTCGGCGACAGGAAAGTGGAGAGGCGAGCTGGGGAGCCGGTATCTGGAGACATCGCTGATCAAGCCCTTGTTCGGCTAGAGGGATCAATGTTGCCCCGAGCATGGAGCAGGGATGGTTGCAGAGGCGGGCGAACCATCACACGACATGCGCGGCAAGGAGGATTAGCGCGCTGAAGCAGCGACGAGGGCCGTTGCAACACAACGGCTGGGCATGAGCCAACGGGCAGCGATGAGAACGGGCAATAAGAACTGGCACATGCAGTGACAGGCAGTAGCTCCGAGTAGATAGCGAATAGAATAGAAGCAAGCAGACAACGCGAGCTGCGTACTGGTTACTCGCACGAGAGTCGCACAGACACATTGACACCACTGCTGCCCTCGTCTGGACATAGTACTGGGAAGGGACTAGCTCTCCTTTTCCGTGTCCTCGCCGTGCGCCCTCGGAAAGCACGGGGAGGAGCTGTCTGATCACATTCTCTTTATTAGAAGTAATGCAGTAGCGCCGATGGTGGTGGGTGGACGGACACGCCGTCCCCACAGCATGTGCCTGGTCACGCTCCCCCAGACTGTTTCGAGATGATGGCGACTACGGAGTCACTCCTGCACAATGCTCTGCTAAAACAGCATGTATGCCGTCATCGACGCCTTCAAGGACGATGTGGTTTCTCTACTGACGCGTGCAGGTTGCCGACTCTTGACTGATGTCCGATCTCGCGCCCTCTACCACCGCAGTGCACACAAGCCGGCACGTTGGAGATCTCCAAAGCTTCACAGTGCTTGGGAACAGGACAAGAAACAACAAGACACACGGGGGACGCCTTGGAAACAGATGGGCTGGTGATCGACCGGGGCTGCTCTGGGGATCGTGTCTCGGGCTGACGGCTCAAACGCCGGCCAAGGTTGGTGGCGCCGCCTAGCTGAGGATGCATGATTGCGCCCGTTCCTCCTCGCATCCCCCAATCCTGCGATCGGCAGATGACATACCATTCAAAGTCAAACTCGTCTTGCCTCGATATCATCAAATAGGGACGAGGATAGGGCGGTCGACGGGGGGTGGTAGTCTTGGTACCAAGAGCATCATGCATCTGAGCAGCAGCTGGAAGGGCTCGTCTTGAGCGTCCAGAGCATGTCCAGAGTCACAGTGCCGAAGCAGGAAAGTCTGGGGGTCGCCATCACCCAGCCTATGTGCGGAGTCGACTTTCTGAAGCTGGAATATTATGTTGCGCAGTGAAGCCCGATCACTGTAGCCCAACATAGAATACAAGGACACAAAGTCCGGTCAACGGTCATGTAAAGCGGAGAGTCTGTACTTGGGCACCGTGTACCTTGTGCCTGTAAGACGACCATCGAGCAACACGCTCCGAGCCACCCGAGGCGATGCGAACATTGACCCATCAGAGTCGCTACGAGTATAAGGCTCGCAATGCTCACGGTCGCCTGAAGGCCCTCTATCGCTAGGCTAAAAGCTCCGTGCAGCACACACAGAAGTTGACTTTGGCCGTCTGTCGTGGTGTGGCCGCCTCAGAACCGGCGTGCAGCCTCTTTGCGACACCAAGCTGAACCCAGACAGGTGCCAGACTTTTACGCACAATCATGACACCAAGGTTGAACTCGTGCTGACTCACGAGAGGGGAAATGATGCGCGTCAGGCGCCCGCATCTCCACGATCCAACATGGTGGCGTCCGCTGGGGCCGTTCCCGTAAGGCTTGAGTGTGATGATGCTGCCTACCCAGTAGCTACAGGCGGCCTAGCAGCCACTCAGGCCGCTGAACCTCCGAGGCGATCATCGCAGTCATCCTTCTTTACGGAGCTAGGAAGGTCATACGATCGACTTCGCACACTGGGCGCATTCAATGGTCGAGGAAAATGCCGCACCTATGACCGTGCAGCTATTCAATCGGTCGTAGGGTTGACTGGCTGCAACGCTGTCCTCGTACCCATCACACATCCCGGGTCATCTACCCAGGACGTACCCAGTACCTACGGCAAGGCATACACAGGCCTGCGGCTGGCCCCCAGCCTTTCCGTCCACGCATTCCCCGCTCTTCCCTCGATCAGTACATTCCAGCCGAATGTGCCTCCCGTGCTATGCGAACTGCGACTCTACGATCCAGACGAAAGCGTGGTGGGCTCACTGTTCGGCACGAGATGACCCCTGTCCGTCCGTGACTCGCGCTCACGGCGCCACTGGCTCCGACCTCGTCTGCCATCCATGTACGAAGTACCTCAGCTGACGCATGCACGAAGCTCAGAAAAGGGATCCGGCAACTCATCTCCCAACTCGCGCAGGAAGTGTGCGTTGACACCAGCAACTGCGCAACGGGTACTCTCTTTACCGGTCTGTTGCTGTTGAATGCGGCAGAAAGCACATACAGAGAAGACTCCTCACCAGTGTTCTGTGCTGGTCTCAAGCCGACAAAGACTCATCAATCGGCCAACTCCTCATCGTCATGCCCCAAGAATAGAGTCGGCCACAAGACATAACACAGCCTTCTCTAGTGATTCGAATCTGTATATATGCTGTTCTGATACTGTCCTGATACTGTATTGACTGCTTTAGACACTATGAGATCTCATAGATTTAACGACCTGAGATAGCATCAGAACAGCACCAGAACAGCTCAGAACAGCTCAGACAGCACTAATTCAGAGTCAAACTACTAGGCGTGAGCAAGGAAGTATAGACATATAGCCACCGAGCCTCGTCTTTATGCTCATTGTTTGCTTTGATACAAGCGAAGCGCAAAACACAAGGTGAGTCTTCGCCACCGCACAGTCAAACCAAAGCGATCACCTTTCGTGCAGCATACCAAGAGGCATCAGTTAGAGACCGCCTGTCTGTCGTATGAACGCCGTTCCTGAATGACGACGTCCACAGTTTATGGTTCCCCTCCGAAAGGGAATGGAACTGGACACAGACCGGTCTCCAGATCATGGTGTCGTGTTGCCCGCCATGTCGACGGATATGCCTCACGAGTTGGGTTGTCAACCCACCAGCGGTCGTTGTTCGAGAGGCTGCCAGGTCTAGAGGACCATGATACTAGCAGTATCCAAGCACGAGCCATGTGGCAGGCCGCACGTCGAATGCTTCCACAATCACCTGCACACTGTACGTCGGTTATCCGACCGAACCAGCAAACTGGCACCACGACCCTTAGGCTCTGCCAGCCAAACAGCAACCCTCACACAATGCAGCGTTTACTTCGGTAGGTGATTGGCTTGATGTCAGCAAGGAAATCCCTCTAGGAACGATCAAATACAGTGCCTTGGTGCGAAACAGTGTCAGCCCGAGATTTGGGAACGACACCTACCTGGGTAGCATCATGCGAAAAGCCTAGCACTCGCCTTCCCGTTCTGGTTAGCCGCTCGCCTCTATGCTTCCTGAGCGCTCCCTGAGCGATACCTGAGCACTCTTTGAGTCTGTCTAAGCCTGTTGGTCTTCCTTCTTCCTCTTCATCTACAGCATCAACCTTCGTCAACTTTAGACGATGGGACCCGTTTGAGAGGCTGTGGGATCCCAGTCTGGCCCTCTTCTCTAATATGCTCGCCCTCCTTAGGTGCGCTGCTCCTGTGGTGCTCTCTTGCTGTCATTACCTAGCTCAAATCTCAGCACAGTATTTAGGCGCTGTAATAGACAAGGGCTTCTGTCATTCATGAGAGGTATGAAGATTGACTCGTTTGTCACGTCTCTGCAGGATGAAATTGGGAGGGCGTTATGATGCTGTGGTTTCCGTCTTGTCGTCTCGTCGCACAGCCCCTTGGCTTCTGTAGGTCGAAGTCACCTTTCCAAGTTGAAGGGAACGTCTCATAGATCACAGAAAGAGAAATTGACAAACGGAAACACGAGTGTATGCTGTTGAAAGTCACAGTTGTAGCTGCTCGAACAGCTTCTCTGTCCACGCACCCTGATGCCATTGGGTGCAAAGAATAACAGTTCGACAAAGAAAGTCGGCTTTCCAGTCAGTACTTGCGTACTACAGGTATTCGACGTAGCTCCCGCTCATATATGTAGTCACACAAGTGCTGACAATGTGTGCAATTGTTGAGACTAAAACCGCAGGGCTTCGAGGTCGGCATCGTGGCGCATGAAGATGGTCCGGTTGCGGTCATGAAGGCATATTTCTTAAAATATTGTAGAAGAAGTTTCACGATGAGACTGGCCTGCTCGAGGCCATATGGCTGTGCCGACTGCGACATTGTTAAGAGTAAATTTGTAGCGGCCGACCAAGCGCTCTGCCAAAATAACTGTTCAAAGCCGTTCACGACAAAAGCCGTCTCGCGCCGTGCACTGCCACAGCGCTTGAAAGCGTATACATTGCATCTCCTGACTAACTTCAGTCGGCAGAGTTCTCAAATGCTGAGAAATGCATCCACTGGGCATCGTCGACTATGGTTAAACAGGGGTCGGAGTTGAGGTGCAACTTTCTGAAGGGAAGTTGAGCTTAACACATCGACGTGTTTGGCGCCTTGGCGGATATCACGGGACGATACTACATAGTCACGTGAGAGTCAAGAGAATGTACAGGTTTGGCAGGTGCAGCGGGCTAGCGCTGGAGACGTTGGCTGGCACCTGCTATGTATCTGCGGCGCCTGATCTGTCTTGAGGGGTTTCGACCTTTCCCGTGGTCCTTCATCATTAAACATGTCCCATTCTACTGAAGTCCATACCATTGTCACCTTCACGAATCTCGCTGCTTTCCCGGGAAAGCCCTCCAAAGGCTTTGCGGCAATCTCAATTGGTTAAGGTGGCACCCTCCCACCCTCCTAGACCAGCCGCGCGGATACTGGAACGTCAGGGCCTTGTGAGCCCGATGATAGCTTAGTGCCTTTTGGACACATTGAATACTGCTTCGCTAGCCTGACCGCAATGTGCGTTTCAGCTTCCAGGAGGATACAGTATCTTCACCGTTGCTGCTGATCCAATTCGGGAAAGCAACATTTCCGACTTTAGGTGATGTTACCGCTGCTCAACATGGTTTCGTCGAGCCCTTCATCACCGCCGAGCCATGGATGGATTATCTTTATCCTGGTTACCTTTATGAGTTGCGTTCGCGCCACAGTTGTCTGTGATGATTGCCGTCCGCTTAGTCTCCAAGAAGCCCCAGGTATGTGCTGCGGAGGGCCGTGCCCCTGGGGGTGATAAAGGAGGGACACTGAGGTGCTTTTTCTCAGGTGTTGGCTTGTCTTTAGCACCGAGTTATGGGTACGCACCACCGTCAGACAAGAGAAGTGCAAAAGAAAATCTTTCTGATCCGGCTTCAGCTCCACAAGCATTCAATTTACCAATGGTACGATCTCCGACGTTGCTTTGATACACGGAACCGAAGCATATATTCGAGCCATGGAACTATGGGACCATCTTGATGTTGACCTCCCTCTTCTGGACCTCGAGAATAAGTAAGTCCTTGCACCTGCACCTGGTCGAGGTGTCTGCGCCAAATGCTAAAGTACCAAGTTCTGAGACGAGCATTGGCCATCCGCTCCTACAACGGCTACGATCGTGGTATCAGGCACGGTTACAGCACCGCGCCGGGACCTCGCCTCAGGCCACCGACGAGGAGCTCATCCCAATCGCGGAGATGATGAGCACACTTTTCTCCGAGGCGAATAAATCGGTGCCACTATCGAAGAACTTGGTCTTCCTGGCGATCCCAGACTTTGAAAATAGCACCAGTGATACATTCACGCGGTCGATTCGACAACTTGTCCACTTGGCTGGACTCGACCGCCTCAGTTTCCAAAGACAGAGCCAGCTCTCACTTTTACACATCTATAACCTGGACAACTGTTTTGGAATCTGGCTGGATCCGGTAACCGAGGTTCCGGACGAAGAGTGCGAAAAATACAAAGGCAGACACATACAGTCGGTACTCTCCGTCCATCTCGATCGATCCTCTCTAAGTTTGCGGTCAATGATACGCGACGACGGCATATTCCCTCACGAGCCGGGCTCCGTCAAATTCCTCTGGGCGGATGAAGAAGATGCCAAAGCGAACACCACGGATTGGGACGGGGTGGAACATGCACTCGAACGCTTCTTGCACGACCACGATATCATGTTTGATCTCCTGCTCCTCTCCGGCGCCCATGTCAAGGCCTCCGATTTCCAACGAATAATCCGAGACAGGTTCAAAGACAACGAGAAAATCGTGGCTCAGGACTACTTGCGAGGGTCCAAGGATCACCTGTTTGCCGCGGCGAGGGGAGCTGCGCAGCTTGCGAGGGTCCGCTTGTGTGTGGGTGATGATGCATGCATGCCCAACTCGTGGTGCCCGATCAGCGAGCATTGTAAGAAATGGGCATGGTACATAGATTCGGATGACCATGCTGTCAGGAAGACAGAACTCTAGGGGAATCTTCGCGTGGCATGTGAGACTCGGACCAGTGTGAAGCAGAAGAATGGGTTTGACAGTAGAGGATACTGGGTAGCAGGGAAACCGGTGCCATTCAAATAGACGTTCAGCACTACTATGTACCCAACGCTCTCGGTGCTTTCGCTTGCCCACAGGGCGCGCAGTCCCAAGTCGTTCCATAACTGCCGAATTTGAACCCAGGCCCGCCAAATCTCTCTCTCTCTCTCTCTCTCTCTCTCTCTCTCTCTCTCTCTGTGTGTGTGTGTGTGTCTCCACAGCAGTTAACCATTCTCAGAGAATTAGGCGAGGAGACGAGACCCCTAACGAAATGTCATTGCCGAGGACGGACAGCGATAGGCGCAGGAGGTCTACACCAAGGCGTCCCAGGGAATCAAATGGCCGGGTGGTTCCACCCTCAAGCCCGAGCACTAGGACTACAGTGGTCGGCAAAGACACTGATAACGACACGCGAAAGAAGTCACGGCGCTCGCGGGGAGGCAGCCACGGCGCAACAAGCGTTTATGGTGACGCTGTGGTAAGCGGCTCACTATGAGCTGTATCCAACACGGACGCTCTCTGGGGACCTTCGGTATGGCTGGTGTAGGGGGTGACGAGAAAACAAGACTTTATTCTGGGCGTCTGTCCCAAATGACCATGCACCAGACCCTTCCCATGTGCAGAGGGAGGCATGCTAACGGGGTCGAATTCGGCAAGCACCTTGATCTTGACTGGATGAGAAAAGGATTCAATATTCCCGATTTTTTCCTTCGTCTGTCTCCTCTCATCACACGTCTGTGTTTTCACCCATTCGCTAAACAAGACAGAGAGGAAGGGCAACTTGGTACGCCGAAGGAGACCAACCTGGCTGATGAAATCTGCGAGACACCGAACAGTAAAGGCCCCTCGAGGATACCCGACGAGAATAATCTCGTCTTGATTCGCAGCAAAGTTGTAATTATTGCAAAGAAAGCAGTAGGCGCTTAGAATTTTTCCTTCCAAACCTATCAGCCTTATTAGCACCTTAATTTTCAAGTTAGGAGCGCAAGAAAGCAAATACAACCTTCACCAGTAGCACCAGAGTACACACTATCCACCAGCACGGACTGTGTCCCGTACTCCTCCCGAATAGTAGATTACCTGCGTGATGGCACTGGCGCTGAACTCAGTGTGGATGCCATATCGATCGACAGCGCGAGCAAACCTCGCCACGTTCGTGAGAAGTTTGGCAGTGCCTGATGCATTCTTCCACGTGCCATTGCAACAAACAAACAGGCGCTTCTTTCCCCCTTCTTCGTTTATTGCTCGAAAGAACTTGGCGGTGACATGCTCCTCTCGCTCTCCCCAATTTCTCTCGTCATGAATGCCAGCAATGCGGTGAACCAGGCTGTTACTCTGATCGAGAAATCCACGGAGCACCTGCTCTTCCAGGTTAGTCAGCACGGTCCTGGCCGGTTGAGCCTGGAGCTGAAGGTTCGCGTTTGCAGCCATCCTTTCTGTATGTCTAGTAATACACGGTAGGACGTAACGGACGTTGGATTGATTGCTGAAAACAGACGAAGGGAGAAGTGATGGCGATGGGATAATTTGCACAAGGCCAGAGCATGGGAAAAGCCAAGCCGAAGACAATTCCACGACAAGTGGCTTGCAGCGGCCATCTGTAAGTCTCATGGGCGTTGGTGCATTAATTGGCCAGTGTTTTCCAGTCCTGCTCCCTGTCTGCCACGTCAGTACCTGCAGCAGTCTCCAAACGATCATGAGCACCGCAAACCTGCGCCATTCTACGCATAGATGCAGATGGGTAAGATGGAATGCCCCCTAAAGGAATAACAGGCAAGATACACTTACGGAGGAGAGAGGACGTCCCATCCACTCACCAACCCACCACACCACTCGCCGCTGATCCGTGACTACCGTAACGTTGCGTGCCGTCAGAGATATTGAAGAGACCCAAGTCATCTACATTCTCTATACAACCACATACATGTACTATACGCCTGTCCGATAGATCTCGAGCACTGGAATGCCCACCTCTTCTACTTCGCTTCTTCAACGTCGGTGGAAGAACCGATGTGCACCCACTCATCCAGAATCCTGATCGTCTCTTCGCACTTGTCCTTGATGATCCTATAGGCATCCGGGCCCAGCGCGAGCCGTACCGGAACCTCCTTGCCAGTAACACCGGTCAGGACATCAACGATGACCTTGGCCCCTTTCGCGGGATCGCCGCGTTGGTTCTGGTTCGTCCTCTCCACCCGTTCCTCGGTCCTGCGCACTACTGTGCCATCGTAGTCCGCGATGATGTGTTCGTGCAGGATCTTGTGCTCCTTGCTCAAAAAGTTCGACCGGAAGTAGCCTGGCTCGATGCTGCATACTTTGATGTTGAACTCGGCCAGCTCGAGGCGCAGCGTCTCCGAGACGCCGCTGACGGCCCATTTGGAGGCCTCGTAGATGCCCACTGCCGGGGTCCCGCGCCACGCCCCGATACTCGAGAAGTTGGCGATGACTCCAGACCGTCTAGCGCGCATGTAAGGAAGGATGGCTCTGGTGACGTTCAGAGGGCCAAAGACGTTGGTTGCGAATTGGGCTTGAGTTTCTGCCGGGCTGCATGAAGCATGTAAGTGACCTTTGACGCGCATAAAACGGTCCATGGTAGCATCGTACGTGAGCTCTTCCAACCCGCCGACCTGACAGTACCCGGCGTTGTTGATGAGGAAGTCGATCCTTCCATGGAGGCTGTGGGCTTCTTCGACCACGCGTTTGAGCTCGTCCAATGGCGAGGTCACATCCAAGCTCAGCGTGTGGGCTCCAGCTGCTTTCAGCTCCTCGAGTTTGCTTGCGTTGCGTGCCGTCGCGACGACCTTGTCTCCACGGAGGAGGGCTTCGTGTGCTAATGCCTTGCCGAAACCACTTGAGCAGCCCGTGATGAACCAGACTTTGGAGTGTGCCATGCTTGCTACGCGCGTGTTTCGTGAGAGAGAGAGAGCAGAAGTTAAAGGGGAAAGCGGATGGTTCGGGACAAGCACGACGAGCCTTGCTTTTATCCTCCTCCTGCTTTCCTCGTGCAATGTCCTGCTTACCTCGTTTCTCTTGTGCTCCCATACCGGCTCATTCTTACATCAATCGGGTATTACTGACTCAGTTGGATGACCTATACCTGTAGGGAGTCGGCAGATGAGCATTCCACAACATACGCAACACAGCTTCATCAGGCCAGGTTCGGCGCATTGACAACAATGGCTCCGTGCATCATTGGTTCCCACGACTGCTCAATGGGTAATTGAGGTCGATGTTGCATGATAGGACGGCAGACTCGGGACGCTCCAGAGTGATATGTATCTGAAAAGAGTATCTCTGGTTGACGACGACCTGAAGTCAAAGGCGCAGAAGAGTGCGGCAAAAGCGGCCGCCGGCTAACCTTCCGTCTTTGGATTTTCGATCAGTCCTGAATTTTTGAATTTGGCCGAGTTTTTCAAAGACTTCAACAAAGTCATGCTGTATAGTTCGACACTGGACACTGGACACTGGACACTATCCCGTCTCTCGCGGCCTCGTCTCACGATAGCCCAAGAATGGTGTATTCCGTACCCCTCCTCCAAGATACACGCACACCGCTGAGATACGTTTTATGATCTACGCAACGAATCACTTTCCAGCTGCTTGCGCCCATCGGCATCCCACAAGCTCTTCTCACGAAGTCACGGCCTACACGGTCCACATCCTGTGGTCCGGTAGAGCCAGAGCTGGTGGATTTTCTTTCACACACTTCATGTTGCAATAGCAAACGTTTTGGACTTTCATAGTTCAACTTGTTCCTGATCTTGCGATCACGTCGTGGACTGGTTGACTCCTTGCGTGCCTACATGAGAAATGCCCTTGTCTGGGACGGCTTAGTGGGCCGAATGTGGATTTATCTTGTCATTGGTATTGGTATGGGTGTTGGTACATAATTTCATGTCAATCGTGGTCATTAGATCATGATTGCTGTCTTCGATCGCTTCGCTCTGAACGCTACAAATGAATCGGTAATGCAAAAGACCAAAGAGGGAATTTCACCCGTTGCCTGCCTTGGTGTTTGCCAGGTCCATTTTCTGAAGCAACGAGGCCACTTCCTCCGCCGAGTAACCGAAGAACACCGGGCCATTGAAGATGACCTGTGTGCGGTGGTCAGTCGTCTCGATAGCATCTCCGGGCCGGCTTCCCCGCTGTTGTGGTTTCTGACCGTGCTCCGTAGGGCCTCGATTTGGCGTCGCGCCTGGAGTCGGCCGCGAAGTGGCGGACGGCAGTTTCAGATGCGCAGCCTCGTCTTCGTCCTGCAAAGCGCTCGGCGTCGGCTCTCTATCAGCAGGAACTGAGATCCCCCACGGTCGAGTGGGAGATTCTCCCACTCGAACCTCGCGCAGGGGCCTCTCAAAATGTGATTGTCTTACGCCTTCGTCCGGCACAGCGCCTTCTTGGACGGGAGGCGTCGCATCCTGGCTGATATTCTCAGCCCACTTCTCGACACCCCGGGTTGAGTCTTTATCTCGTTCTTCAATCCGGTCTCTTTCCGGTAGGTATGCTTTATGCTTGACCCCTAAACCTTGTATCATGTTCACCAAATTGCCATATTTGGCGTCCAGCTGGCGGGCGCTGGTCTCATTGCCTCCGTATCTCCGCACACATATTTCATGGCTTCGGGGAATCTCATGTTTATGGTTCTCGAAGTATTTGGCAACCTCTTCGGGAGAATGTTGATCGAGGAACCGGATGGGGCATTGGCCAGGGCGTTGGTCTACGGGAGGGGATAGTGTGGAGGCTTTGTCCTGGTGAAATTCGGCTGCTATAGGGTCATTTTGCACAGACGATGCCAGTCCGTTCGCCATCTTCGCAAAAGGGCAGCCCAGGGTTCCCTGGACACCTGGCGTCGTAAAATCGCGCTCAAGATCTTCGGGGTTCCTGCTCGGATGCGCAACTGGGCATCGTGCTATACCAGGCTGAGGCTTTTGTATTCTAGACATCTTGTATATTTCAATCGCTTGTTGCGCTTGACGGACAGAAGCAAGTTCTTCGACGTTGGCACCGGCGATAGGCTGAACTCGTATCTGTTTCACGACGTCGCTGTGAGCAGTGGATGCCGAATGACAGCTGCCAGCCGCTAAGAGTCTTTGGTACTGGATCTAATCCATCAGTGTCTGACGCAGACCACAAAAATTTGCAGGAGAATTGTATAGGAGAACGCCATTCAGGTAATACATGCAAAGTGTCGCTCATCGCCACAATAGTTGCAGCTCTTGATCTAGAGCTAATCAAATATTTCTCATCCTAGGACATGTGTAGTGGGATTGGATGTCAAATTATGAAATACTCACCTCATTTGCTGCGTATTCCAGCCTTTCTCTTAGCAGTTTTTCATTCTCGAGGGTGTCACGAACATGGGAGAGCAGGGACTCGAATCCAGCGACGAGCGAATCGATCAGTAGTGACAGAGCGTCCTCAGGAACAGATGCAGGCATCGGAAGGAAGACGGCGATACCGAGGGCGGGAATGAGAGAGTTGAGCGACCACGCTTGGTAGTCTTGGGCAAGGCAACAGGCGAAGTTGGCTGACAGGAAATGTCGGAAGGCGGCACGTGACAGCGCACGGCTTGCGCGGTCGCCTGGCACGTGACTGTACCTCATCCTCATGGGGCAAAAACGCTGTAGCGTCTAGCTGCGAGAGGACTAACCCTCGAAGCTACCCAGTACCGGGGTAGGTACCTTACGAGTACGAGTACCTCATTACTCGAACTTCGCCTAGGATCTGCCGTTTGACTTGCTACATACGACAAAGGATCATAGTGGGAAGACGCCTGTGCATCACGCGGTCATCCGATAGAGAGCAGGTTCAGACCCTTCTCCATGCTGGCGATGCGGTAAATGTGAAAGAATATGGGGGCAATGCTTCCCTCCACCACGCAGCCATGGCACCTGAACTGGACATTGTTCATCTTCTCGTCCGCTCTAGCGCTGACATCAACGCAAAGGGCCAACTCGACCGCTCTCCTTTGCATATGGCAGTATCGGCCACGAGCGGCCCAGTCGTCGATGCCCTAGTCAGTGCAAGGGCAGAAGTATCCATTCAACATGATAAAGGCGATACACCTTTACAGCTCGTGTTAGCCTATCTAGCTTACACGGGTCCGATGAGTGTGTAGAGTCTTTGCCTGCCAACTCGTGACCGGGATGCGGGAAAGCTGCATATGACAATACGTCGAGATCCGCCGGAAGTAAATAGCTGTTGCCTAGCTGCTTGATTACCTGTCTGCATAGGTGAATCCTTTTCCAGACGGGGCCTCACCAACTTCAAACGAGTGTTTGACACAGATCGCCCCATAAGTACTTATTCGCCGAGGTAAGCCTCCGTCACATTTCAACGGCCAAGTCGAGCAGCTTTGTGAAATTGGGCGTGCCCAGCCCAGTGACAGCATCCCATCCCTTGACTGCCTTCCACCCGGCTCCAGGGACTCCCGGCGCGTCCTGTCCCGCATTTGTCACGTTGTCACAGCCGCGGGACGACCCCTGCGTGATGTCCGTGAGCGAATTGTACGCCGTGTTGTACAACCAAGGGTTCAAGAAGCCCAGCGGTTTCTGGCCCCTGGACAGGCGCTCGGAGTTGAGATTGGCGATGATGGCAGCCCAGGTGGGCGTCGCCGCGCTCGTGCCGCCGCTCAGCTGCTCCTGGCCCAGATGGAAGATGGGGAACGTCGTCCACGCCTGCGCCGCGACGTCAGGGATGCCCCTTCCCGTCCTGTTGTACAGGCCGTTGAACTTGTCCTTGATGGTGCCATTCAGATACGTCTCAACCTGCGTGCGCTGATAATCGGGCCGGGCAAAAACGTCGCTGAAGCCGCCGCCAGACAGCTGTTCGGCAATCTCGGGAAGCACCTGGCCTGTGCCCCCCACGCTCGTGACCCACGGACAGCTGGAGGGGAACTGCGGCATGAACCGCGTCCTGTTTTGCCCGTCGTTGGTCATGCAGCCGTCCCCGGGCCCGCCGTCGCCACTGGATGTGATCACGCTCACGCCGCGTGCGCCCAGCTTGGCGAACAATTGGCACACGCTGAGCATGTAGGATAGCGGGTGGGTCTGCTCGTCTTCGCCGTACGAGATGCTGATCACTTGCGGCAGTTTGTCGTTGGTCAAGTTGACCATGTACTGCAGATACTCGAGGAACGGCTCCTGCTCGTTCAGCACACCTGGTCTGTCGGGGAGTTGCAGGTCGTGGATCATTGGGCCCCTGCCCCCGACTTTGTAGAAGTCGACCGGCGTTGGGTACGCTAGGGTCAAGCCGTATTGGATGTCCATATTGGCTTCGGAGGCCCAGATCGCGTCGGTAGATTCGTTGTTAACGCCGCCGTTCACGGAGGTGATGGAGAAGTTTGCGCCGCGGGCGTATGGTGCCCATTTGTCGACGAACAAGGCCAGGTCGCCGCGGAGGACGTTTTGACTGGCGAAGGCGGGGATTCCGAGACGCGAGCCGGAGCTGGCATTGGCGCGGAAATCGCCTATACCGTAGAGTGCGCGGATACAGTCTGCTGAGGTGGTGGTGTTACAGTACGTTGCGTTCAGTTTGGTTGCTGATCCGTACACGGGTATCGAGTTGGAGGTTGGCCCGGGTTGTTGATTTGCTCGGGAACGGGCAAAATGTGTAGTCGGTTGGATCATCTGGATGTATGGATGGAGCCTGTCGGGGATGGAGTATTCGAGGGTGCGAATGCGCCAGCTTTTGTCTTCAGCGTAGTGGAAGAAGTAGAAAGTTGTGTCGAGGAGATTTTCTGCCCGCGCAACTGTGGTGTCGACGCTGATCCAGTCTCCATTGTCTTCGATCTCCATTGCCGGAATGCCTTGTTCCTCGAGCCAGGAGAGCACATCACTTGAAGTTGCTGGCTCAGGACGTAAGAGTGCGTCGAGCTCGTGAGCGTCGTAGTGTTGGCCATAGAGCTCGTGCTCGGGATCGGAGATCTTCAGCAGCTGTTCTTGGAGGAAAGCGTGCTTGTCATCCTGGCGAATGGCTATATGGAGTTTGAGACGTGCGAGTGCCGGTGCTGGTACCCCGCGATACCAACCGTCAGGGACGTCGATGAGCTGCTCGAACACCTTGAGCTGGCCACTCGGCGCGGCGCCGGCAATGCTGGTGAGCACTGAAGCACATGGCACCATATACCTTGTAAAGAAGTTCAACATCCCTAATGATCAACGCAATTTGCGAATGAGGCTGCAGGGGTTTCGAGAACTGTAATGCCGTTTCATGCGGCGAGGTACGTTCTCATGCCCATCCTATATGCTATGCCTCGACGGATCGCCACGAGGCTGTGTCATGTTGGGATCAAGACTAATCCCTAATCGTGCCGAGTATCGGTACGTTTTAGGATCGTCAGGCCTGCAGCCGAGCTCCACAGATCTGGCTGCTGGTCCAATGCAGGGAGCACGGTATGGTGTTGCCTGCCATGACAATGTTTCGGGATAGCGACGATCTCTTACGAGGGGGGTTGAAGTCCGTCCTTAGATGAGCCAGCAGTATGGCCACGCGGGAAATCGAACCTCGCTGCTCGAGAGAAGAGTAGTAGTATTGCTTCCGCCTGACACTACCCATTGTAGGAATCATAAGCCCATCGTCGAGCCGCCGATGCCGAGTCTGGAGTATAAGCAGTACCCTTCCGCAGAGAGACCGGTCCGTAGCAGGCACGTTGCCATTCCTTGTCCAGAAGAGGATAATGCGCATTGTCTAGGCAGCCATCGGTCACTTCCATGTCGTCATTCATACCTATCCCTGGAGAGTCGTGGTGATCTATGTAAGCTCCGAGCAGATTGTCCCTCGCTTCAGCCGCCAAGTGAAATCTACCCACGGAGTATGTATTCTCCGATTCCGCATCTAATCTTGATAAGATCCTGGGCTAAGCCTAGTGTGAGGCTTGTCACGTGGGTTGTCAGTCTGACATCTGACCCTCCTTGTCACTGCGGACTCAACCGAGGCATAAACACCGAGGCAGCTCAGCTCATCCTGCCAATGGACCGAGCCCCAGCTCCGGAAGAGGATACCCCCAGTCCCCAGTACTGGGTAGATAACTTTGGCTGCGGTCATTCCTCCCTCTCCATATGAAATGTGGTAACTTCTCTGTTCTCCGTCCCGCAGACCCAAACTGAAGAAGCTGTCCAAAATGAAAGCTATCCAAGTAACGAAATATGTCTCCGGACCTCAGGACCTCTTCGTCACTACCCTGCCCACTCCCGCGCCCCATCCCACGAAATATCTGATCAAGATCCGCGCCTGCGGCACGAATTTCTTTGACCTCCTCCAGATCCAGGGCAAATACCAGCACCAGCCACCCCTACCATGGATCGCCGGCATGGAGTTTGCCGGTGTGGTGGTCGCAACACCTACCACCCGGGAAGGGTCCAAGAGCGCTGTCGCGAGTAGCCTCGACGGCACAGTGAGCACACAGACAAACCATCAGTTTAAAGTGGGCGACCGAGTATTTGGCGCCACGCACGGAGCATATGCTTCTCATATACTGGCAGACGAAGGAGTTTTATTTCCCGTGCCCCAGGGCTGGAGCTTTGCGGATGCTGCTGGTCTCTATGTGACAACTCCAACCGCTTACGGTGCCTTGGTCACGCGAGCAAAGACTCAGCCGGGCGAGTGGGTGCTTGTCCACGCAGGCGCTGGCGGTGTCGGTCTGTCGGCGGTTCAGGTCGCAAAGGCTCTGGGAGCCACTGTTGTTGCCACAGCCGGTTCGGAGCGAAAGAGACAGGTCTGTTTAGACTACGGGGCGGACTACGTTGTGGACTATCGGGACAAGAATTGGCCGCAAAGAGTCATCGGGCTCTGCGAACAGCATAGGACAGGAAACGGCAAGCAGGGCGTCGATGTCGTCTATGATCCCGTTGGTGAGTACTACTGCCATTGTGAATGTTGCGGCAATGCTAACAAGGTCTGGAGGTATGATTGATCCATCGATGAAATGTATTGCATGGAATGGTCGACTGCTAGTTATCGGCTTCGCAGGCGGCACCATTGAAAAGGTCGCCCTGAACAGAGTTCTCCTGAAAAATATCAGCCTCGTTGGGTTGCACTGGGGGATGTATGCCACGAAAGAGAAGGAGACGGTTCCACAAGTGTGGAAAGGCATATTTGACTTGATCAATTCAGGCAAATTGAAGGGCATCACGTATACAGACAAGCATTACAAAGGACTGGAACAGGTTCCGGCAGCCCTGATCGCTCTGGGTGCTCGAGATACATGGGGAAAGGTGGTTGTGGAGCTGGGGGAGAATGAGGGCGAAGAAGGTAGGAGTAAGTTGTAATTGCAGCTGTCGTCGGTATGAAATCTCGGGTTCTCCGCCAGGATGGAATGCCACAACATGCAAGATTACTCCTATTGAGTTGCTTCAAAAATGCTGGGTGACGTTCGCCAATCACTGAAGTGCGATTGCTTCGATTTCGACGTCAACGCCCTTGGGCAGTTCTCGCACTGCGACACACGTTCTCGCCGGCTTATGAGTAAAGTACTGTTCGTAAACGCTGTTCATCTCGGCAAAGTGCTTCATGTCCGACAGGAAGACCTGGTCCTCTGGTTAGCTTATCGCAAGGCGTCAAAGGCAGGATGATTTGTGGAGCCGGAGAAGATAAAGCCCAGCCAGCAAGACTCACTCCAGCTTTGACAACTTTGCCTATGCCACTTCCTGCCTCCTCCAATATCGCTTTGATGTTCTCGCAGCACTGCTTCGTCTTGTCTGCGATAGAGCCTTCAACCAGTTTTCCGTTGGTGTCGGCCGGGATTTGCCCCGCAACCCAGACTTGACCAGCAGCTTTGATTGCCTGACTGTATGGACCAGCAGCTGCGTGACAACAGTCAGATATGCCTTCTATCACGGAAGCCTAGGCAATCCTTACGCGGGCAGGCGTTTTTCGTAAAAACCTGAGTCATCTCGGAGGACATCTTGACGCGGCAGGAGTGGAATTGGCGTGGTTGTATCCGTGAAACCGCTAAAGGAAGGGGTTTAGTATATGACGACGGAACCTTCAGACGAAGTAATTTGTGTGGGAAAGACGTGGACATGAGAAACTGATGAGAAGCCTGAACTTGATGAACTTGGCACCCAACGAGTATTGTGAAGTCAGCAGAATTTGAGCTGTCGGAGACATTTGATACCCCGCACCACGTCGGATTTTCCCGTCTGACAGAGCTGAATCTTGACTTTCAGTCGCGTGATTCTTGCCAATTATGGCCAAAGACGTCTGTCAGACGTGGGATATGAAGTCGCCATCGATCAAGAGCAGCTCATTCTTCTTCCATTCACGCCCTATGATCTGGCAAAGGGCGGAACGGTGGTAATTACGTGTTGCTCACCATCTCGTTGCCGAGCTCTTCCCTTCCAAAAATGGTTGTGGCTTGACCTCAAGTACTGAATACCTTGTTTCATCGTCAACTTCAGCCGGGTTCCTTCATGCAAGGTACAGAACGCGTACGGAGCCCTGGACTAATCATCAAGCCCGCCTGAGTGCCGCCTCACACCCCGGTTATGAACTCCGGACTTTCGCGCACGTACCATTCCCGCCCCTTCATTTGCTCGTTGATCCACGAGTTGAGATCAGTGGCTGCTGAAACACATGCGTCCAAGCGAGCAGCCAGATACGGTCATGGCTTGTAGGCTGTAGCTCGTGCTACTGCGAGGAAGATATTGACCTGCCGGAAACGGAACAGCTCAGATCATTTCCATGTTCGCCGTGCCACGATAGCCACTGAGAGCAGGGACTCGTACGTGTATGAGGGTTCGTCCGATCCTTTCTTTTTGTCAACACTCATTCGAGCGGTATCCACAAGTTGCCCAGTTCACGGTACTCTCGCTCTGCGGCACTTGGGGGCGGAGTCAACGGCCTCGGACCAGTGGCTAGGCGCCACTGAGCTTGTTGGCTTGGTACGTGGTTGGGGAACAACTTCGAGCACATGCAACCGCAGCTTGACCCTCCCACCGCCAGACACAGTCCCCTACCACGGATCGACCATTTACCATACCTCCTCTCCGTTTCCTGTCCAAGCTTTGTCGGTCACTGAAGCAACCTGAGCTCGTTGAATCTTGGTTGCTCAACTGACGTCGCTGGGGCATTAACCATATCAGGCGCACAGCTTCAAGACCCACAGCTCTGCGTCAGATCGGAACCCCGTGTTACTCAGCGATCGGAAACTAATACAGGATCGATCAAGGGAAGACAAGTCTTACATATCGCGTCGTACAAACTGTTACTCGGAGTATGGGGCAGCCTGCCAGTCACAATGTCCAAGCAGGCAGCGCCTTGGATAATATTGACGACCGAGAAACCTGGACTCGACGCTCAAAGCAGAAATGCTATCAACGAATGGTGTGGTATGGTCGGCAAACATTCGAACCGCCGCCAACACAAAGATAACTTACGATTCCCCTCCCGGGCTGTCAACTGGAAGAACCAACAACGACCGAACAATGATCCTCTTAAAGTCGCAAATCTGTTAAATGACGTTGAGGGCCAAACACCGCACAGCGCCAGACCACGCCATGCTCAACACACCAAGCCCAGCGATGGCACTACATCAGAGGAGTCAGTTATAGGATCTCTCACTAGACCTGCTACGGGATCGAGACACCGTAGTCAGAAGAAGAAAGGTGAGTCGGTGGTCGAGCGTTCGACAGGATCCCATCGCAGCACACAGCGTTGACGACCTGCAGGGTCGTTTTCTACCGAGACTAAACAATGCAAGGACGAACTGGAAGAGAGAAGTCACCGGGAAACATCCATATTCTGCAAGGATGGTTCGATGGGCATCAGGGTAGACCCATTCGATTGTATCCCTGGTACGACAGCCGATGCGAGGCAAGGAGAAATAGTGGATTATTGTAAGTTGGCTGTAGGAAATGCGCAGTCGGCGAGTCACGCTAATATTGAGCACAGACAAGCAGATCCTTGACCCAGGCGTGGTGGCAACATTTTTTGTCTTCGACATGCGAAGTACATATGGCAGAATGCCGCTCGAGTGCTTGATGGACGAAGACTTCCGTCCGCTTGGCCTCGCTTCCATTGCCGGTACAATGAGCTCCGTGAAACACGCGGCCGTGAACCGAGAATATATCCTCGCGCAATTGGGAAATGGTATGCGCCTACTTAGACAGCGGCTAAGTCGACCGGGCGGCGCCGATGCAGACATTGTCCTCGTGAGCATTATGTTCCTAGCCGCATCAGCAGTGAGCATACCCTTCATATAAGACTGAGGTATGCGGGCACTGATTTTGGGCCTGTTTAGTACGTAACTGGCGACTTGGAAGGCTTCAAGCTCCACAAGAACAGACTCAAACAAATGGTCGCAGCACGTGGCGGTTTAGATAATCTGGGCTACGGTGGCGGTACTAAGACTGTCCTGCTCCAGTGAGTACTCAAAGAACATTTGAACCGCGCAGCGGTAGCTACTGACCGTTTCAGATGGGATGCCTCGTGGAAGCTGTCAACGGGTGGCGGCTTATGGGTCGACAACCGACCTCGAAAGAAGCCTATTTATCCTCCATTACCTCTTGGCGAGCGGACCTTTGCGCTTGTCGAACGATTGCCTCCTGGGTTTCGAGAACTCTGCGCAAAAGGTCTCATTTGCGTCGAACTCTTGGACATACTTGCGAGAATGACGACAGCTATGTCTTACAAATCTTCCAGGCACATCCCATATGACCAGAAAGTTGGCCAGTACGACGACTATCTGTCGGTCTCGAGTCTTCAGACTCTAACGACTCCGAATGAAGAAGGCAGCACCACTCCACCGACTTTGGAGGCTCTGCTAACATTGGGTCTGATCTTGTTCTCCTCTACAGCGTTCAATGAGATGCGAGCAATACCGGTGATCTTCCGAGGACCAAAGGATGCGTTGTACGAGCACCTCCTACGTTTGGACCCAGACGCCCACGAGGGAGGTGACGATGCACAGAACCAGTGTTATCAGTGGCTGTGGGCTGTTACACTGGATGCATGGAGAGATGCATCTCGAGAGCTTATGCCCCAAGGTCGTTACCTACAAATTCAGTTCCACAAGAGATACGCTTCAAATTGGGAGACTTCGCAAGACCTGGTGCACATGCTGAAGCGATTTTTCTGGACAGAAGACCTCGTACAGTTTCAAAAAGCAAGCTTTGAGTCCTTCATAGCTAAGCGGGAAGAACGTTAGCGAGCGGCTGATCCGCAAGACCAGCCACGGTGGACCTGTCCTGAAGATGAAGCCATCAGTCCTGGTCTGGTCAGCCTGACAAATGTTGCGAGATTCAAATCACCAAACATGACAGGTGACAGATACTCGTCTTCAAGGGAATGTGGCTCTCGAGTCTTGACCTTTCTTCTGACGAAAATTGATACTAGATCGACAACTAAATTGTCATACGATATGCGGCCACATGGACTGCCGCCGGCGGGCGATTGTCTCCAGATGATGAGTCGTCATAGAAGAGCGGGAGCGTTTCATGCAGTATCAATGGTCGACACAATACCCCAGTTTCAGAGTTGCAGGTGTCGGCTCTTGAACTTGGCAAGCCTATGTTAAGCTAAATGGCCAGATTTTGGCCGTGGTGAGGATCTCCGACACTTTCTGGCGATATTTACACTTTGTCGGCAATAACTTGACCGGTCTTCCCGCCGCCTGGCTTGAACACAATCTTATGGACTTTTCTGGCCTCAAAGTCCTTGTAAGCTTGCGGCGCGTCCTCCAGGGACATGGTCTTCCCGCACAAGAAGGCCACCTTCTTCTGCTCCTTGACCAGCACTTCGAGCGCATCTTCAAAGATGCTCCGCACAGGACACCTTCCAAAGGCCATGGTGATGTTCTTGCCATAGCACAACAGCCCATTGAGGGGCAGCATTTCCGTATGCACACCGATGGAGGAGATCTGGCCCCACGGACGAATCATGTCGAAACCCAGCATGAAGGCATCGGCATGTCCGACCACCTCGAGCACGACGTCAGCGCCACGTCCACCGGAAGCGGCCTTGATCTTCTCGACGGGGTTGTCATTCAGATTGATAGGGATGGCACCAATCTTCTCCGCTTCGGCGAGACGTTCCGGGACAGAATCGATGGCGTAGACGGTCTTTACCATGGTCAGAGCGCAGGTGATGGCGCAGATGCCGACCGGACCACACCCGATGACAACGGTGGTGAATTCGTCTCGATCCCGTTGTGGAAGGTTCTTCAGGAAGCGGCTTGCGGCGAAGTAGCCCGTCGGGAAGATGTCTGCCATGAGAACGAGCATTTCCTCCGGAATCCCTGTTCGACAATGGTGAGTTCTCTTCGCAACGAAGCTCAATCTGCAGCACCAATCAAGCGGATGGATATCTTACCAGTGGGAGTCTTCACAAGCGTGGTATTCGCCAACGGGACCCTGACATATTCGGCTTGTCCACCATCAACGGTGTTTGCCGGCACAGAATTGCCGAACAATTCACCCTTGGCACATCGGCTGGCCTGGCCTCTGACGCAGTAATAACACTCCTGGCAGGCCGTGTAAAATGGCACGACGACCTTGTCGCCAATCTCAAAGTTGGTGACGGCGTCGCCTTTCTCCTCGATTGTGCCGACAAACTCGTGTCCGCAGACGAAGTTTGGCGGGCATTTCAGGTGGCCACGATAGAAGTGCAAATCGGAGCCCTGCAATCAACGAGGTTAGTGTTGCACACAGTAGGCTTGCGTATAGACTGCTGGAAAATGGGGATGATGCCCCGAAGAATGCCAGCGTGAAGGAGAAGGACATTGAGTGTAGCAGCGAACTTACACAAAGTGCCGTGGACGTGACTTTCAAGACAGCATCTGTGGGCTTCTGGAGTTTCGGGTATGGTCTGTCTTCGACGGCTACCTGTGTAGAGTAGAGTGTCAGACAGATGCCAACAATCAGCCTCATCCATTCCTCTCCTTGCACCTGCAGTGACTATCGCATCGGCACTCAAGTGCTGCGACCCGGCGAGAACGCCCAACCAAGGATATGACACGACACGGGAGCTTCATCGGAGCACACTCACCTCAAAATCACCTTTGAGCACCACAGCGCGCATAGTTGCAGGAGGCATTTTGGGCGATGAGTCCTGAGCTTAGGTCCCTTGAAGAGTGTCTCGCTCGTCCAATAGGTCCTCACTCGTAGCTCGGTCGTGGGTTTCAACCGTGCTGGTGGCGAGACGGACACTGATCCCGATGATATTGATATTGATACCGATATCGCACCACAGAATAATACTCCAGGTGTCAAGACCCGAGACAGATGACCTCACGTATACTATACCTTGTGTATATATGTGTGGACGCAGGTATGTATGTATGTAATGTTGCGTATATTGGCGTGATGTTGCGTCGCTCCCCACAAGGTCAGTCACGCGTGGCCTACTGGTAGGAATCTTCGTCACAAGGACGGCCGTGCAGTTTTTCTACTCCTCTACCTATTATGTACTTGATCCTTTGCCCTTTTCTCCCACCGGAATCAAAATCGCTCGGGGGCGAGCGAGCGGGGTTGTCCATGAAGCCATGGGGGGGTCCCGCTGGTGTGGAGTGTGTGCAGTCTCGCAGTCTCGCAGTCAGTGAGTGAGTGGGCGTGTGTGCCTGTGTGAATCAGTCAATGGTCGTACCCGTAGGCATCCCTGCTTTACTTTTCCCCTCTTCCTCCTCGGTGGCGTAATAGGGCGAAGGGCTTCTTGACAGCCGAGGCGCGCGCGGGAACATGCGGGGTGAGAGACACCAGACACGAGGCGAGGGCGAGGGCGAGGGCGAGGCTGAGGGCATAATGCCCCCGCCCCCTTTTCTCCAAGGCCAGCGAGCAGGCGAGATCGGCCGGCCGATTGGTACTGGGTACGCCGAACTACTCCGTGCACTACTGTACTATGTCCAGAGCCTGTGCTGCGCCGCATGGTGGTGGGAGGGTGCTTCTGCCGGCGGAGAACAAAGGAAAGGAACCGAGTGACAAGATTGACTATGAGAGACTACGTCCTTAGTCCTCGGCGTCTACTCCGTCCTGTTGTCCGTTATGTATGTGCGTGGAAATCGAAATCCGAGTTGGGACTTGGTTCATTCCTCAATTTTCATGCTTCTTGCATCATTCTGTACAAGCCAGCCACATAACTATTCATACGTAGTGTACGTGACATGGGACTAGCTTAAAATCGAGCCTGCACTTTGCTCTCGACATCCTGGACAGCCCAATCCGAGAACTGTTTCTGCGACACCGTCCTCCGAACCTGCTCGGTGGTAAATCCCTTGGCCTCTGTGGCCGGGTTGTAGCCTAGGCCGTTGACCTTGGCCACCTGTTCGTCGGACACAGGGGTCGCGGCCTTGCCGTCGGCGCGCTTGTACACGGTGACGACGACGGCGCCACCCAGGCCGAGGTTGTGCTGCAGGCAGTATTTGGTGTCTTTTACCAGGCGGTTGTTTGCCCAGCCTCGGAGGTGCCATGTCAATTCGGCGCATTGGGCAAGCCCAGTCGCTCCTGATCGATTTTGTTAGCTTGCAAGATGTCTGAACAGGAGAGGAGTGTCAGGGTGCACAGGAAGACGTACCGAGAGGGTGGCCCTTGGAAATGAGACCTCCCGAAGGGTTGATCACGTATTTCCCACCGTATGTGATGTCGCCGTTGCGGACCAATTCGTGGGCTTTGCCCTTGGGACACAGACCCATCGCGTCGATGACGCACATCTCATTCGCGCTGAAGCAGTCGTGGACCTCGACGACACTGACATCATTGGGCGTGATGCCCGCCTCGTCCATGGCGCGCTTAGCTGCATAGACGGACATTTGGTAGCCGACCAAATCCATGGCCGAGCGGCTGAACAGGTCTGGTGAGTCGGTGGCGAGTTGCTGGCCTGCGATTAAAATGGCTTGCGACTTGAGGTGGGGTCTCTTGTCGAGGAATTCCTGCGAGACCACGACCACGGCGGCACCGCCATCGGATGTGGGACAGCATTGCAGTTTCGTCAAGGGAGGATGGATCATGGGTGACTTCATGATCTGCTCTAGGGTATATTCATCCTTGAACTGCGAGTAGGGGTTCCTCTTGCTGTGTTCGTGGTTGACTCGTGCAATCTCTGCGAAATCCTCCGGCTTCGCGCCGTATTTCTCCATGTATTCACGGCCCGCGTTGCCGAACAGCTGAGCCGCTCCGGGGGCGTTGGTGATTCCTCGAGTGGCTTTCATCATGGCATTGGTGGTGGACGTGGGGTTCTCGCGATCGTTGAAGTATGCTTGTAGACTGCCGGGGGACATTTTCTCAAACCCCACGACCAACACGCAGTCGGCCGCGCCGTAGGCAATAGCTTGTCTGGCCATGTTCAGGCCCGTTGACCCTGTCGAGCAGTTGTTGTTCACGTTGTATATGGGGATCTGGGTCATGCCGAACTGGTAGAAGACGCGCTGGCCGCAGGTCGAGTCGCCGTAGCAGTAGCACGCCACGCCCTGGTCGACGTCGTCGTAGGTGATCTGGGCGTCGAGCATGGCCTTGATGCCGGCCTCGAAACCGAGTTCATGGTAGTCGACTTTACCGCGGGGCTTGATGAACTTGGTCATGCCCACGCCGAGGACGTATGCTGGGGCTGGTTTGCGAGGCATGGTGGCGGGTGTATCTGGGGTAAACTGGGGAGCAGATAGAGGGACTGAGACACGGAGGGAGTGGCGAACTGGCGATATCAAGTCGTCTGGGAGAGACACAGAGACAGCTCCACGGGGACACGACGGCAGTTTATGTTTTGTAGATAGAAAATCCGGAGGAAAGATGCTCGCCGGAGAGATTGATATTGCCTCGCTTTTCGGCTCAACGTGCAGCATGGACCTCGGTCTGTCTGACCAGGCCCTAAGTAAGCTGTGGGGCGAGGGGACTGAACCTGTTCCAGGCGGTGTCCACGGCCGCCGGGGATGACAGCCACAGCCTGGCACAAGCCACACACGCCACACAAGCCATATACTCCGTTGTGGTTGTCCGTAGCCAGCATACAGGTACGTGCTTCTCTGGTTCGCCGTACACAATACTGACCAGTGGATTTCTTCACCCTCTCAGGCCTCTCGGGCCCGTCTGCCCTTTGTGTGTGGGGGTCATCACGATCAGTCACCGCCAAATTGATGATCAGAGGACATCCCCCTGTTAGTCTGACAAACAGTTATGCTCTCTTGCATTTGGAGGGGTAGAGGGTCGTGAAACAGCCATGTTC